TGATAGTTCATTACGATCAAGTCAGTAAAAAAATGACTACTAGAAAGTATAAGCGGATGTTTGCTTTCTAAAAGCAAGCACGATATATGAAGTCGTCCCACTACTTGAATGACGTCATCTATTACGAAGGGATTAATATTTTTATAGGGCTCCCACGTGTAACTATACTTCGCATCATCTTACCGGCTGACATAAGATGAAGTGTCATTTCCTTATTAATAACAGATCCATCTACTACTCTCCTCGGTCTTTCTTACGATTAACATATACTGTCGTGCTCATCTTTATACTCTGCGCACCTTTGGTTCTCCATTTTTCTTGTGAATGCGGTAAGCTGAACCAAATTAATTATATTCTGCTTTGCACTGTCAACATCGCCAATTTCAGTTCACCAAAAATTAACAGTATTTTGTCTAATCTCTTCCCAATATTGTGGACCAACCGTTCGCATACAGCAAATATTTTCGGCATTTTGGAGCAGATCTTACAATTAAGAAGTCGATTCAAATGATTCCCTGCTGGTATTTTGCCTAGTTCTTTCGCAATCGAATAGGCTAAAACATGGTTCTCCTCTTCGTATGAATTTGACAAGTCACTTTCATTCTATCATGAAAAGTTCGGTTCGTGAAACCACTCAGTTTAGTGCTATAATCTAACAAAAGTCTATAAGAAGCATGATCCGCAGAAATCTATTGACTTTTAGAATGTCTCCATTGGCTTGCTGTAGACAGTTCGTGAATCGTTGTCAATCTATTGCTTACGGATCTCTCAAGTCTTTTTTTGTGCTTCTTATACAACGAAGTACGATTAATTAATTTGTCCAATAATTGACATAAGAGAGAGGGATACGCAATCTACTCAATTCCTAGAGTTCTTTCGTTTATTTCCATAGATAAACGAATAGCTACATTTCTTTCAATTACATCTTACTCTGGAATAAACTTCACTAATTCAAAATTGTTGATGCCCCACTTGGTCAGATAAAACCCCTTTAAACGTAGCGTTTCCTTCAGCTGAGAATGTAACAATTCTCTAGTTCAGCAAACTGTGCCATCACATCAACATATTTCCTTTGATCTCTCTGGTCACAGATAGGTCGGTTTCTCGACGAATTTAATCTACTCATCTCTAGTGTTCTATTATTAGGTAGGCTCTGTTGGTGACACTACGACAAAGCTATTTGGTGATGCCTGTTCACTAATTGTATAGATCTGGATATAACATCAGATGTTTTACGATCTCCAACCGACATGGACACACGAGGATTCGGGTCTACTTCAAATTCCATCTTATATAACTGACCTAATCTGGCTTCTCCTTCATCTTTAGGCCATAGATAATTTATGATACCCATGTTTTTCGTAAGGTACAAACAAAGCCCACGCTAAAAAAGATTTTAAAGAGTGAGGTTTGCTAGATTTTACCACACTCTTCTCTTCTATTTTATGTGCCTCGGGCGCATTGCACTCCATCAGTACTTTGACGCCTTCGTTATCAACTCTTGGGAAGGTCACACCGCGCAAATGAGTCCACGATGTCATCAGTGATGTTGTAAGCACCGTCCTATGTAACATAGGTAATCTCTCGACCGTTCATACCTTCAGAATTCTGAGTGATGAAGAATTTAGGTAGGAAAATTTCAGTTGAACCTCTTCACAGTGAAATGTGGTTTGGCTATCTAGCGTTTTTAATAAAAGCGTCTTGGCTCCTCCATGAACTCGGCCCTATAGCTAAATATTCTGTAATAAGCGAAGCGTCTGAGCCACTTATGAGGAAAGAGCAGGTCTGTGCCGCTCTTTCTTCATTTTTTACCAATAAGGGCATTATTGCGAATGCCACTTGTCTCTGTACACGCTTCGTACTTTCCTCAGTACATACTTGGATATTAATATGGGCATAACTACTAATGTCTTTCTGCGCTTCCCTCTTCCTGTGTAACAAGGTATAGTATCTCCAGTCACGTCCTTCGACGGCTCATGACCTCGGTGCTCGAAAGTTTCTTGCCATGTTGTTTGCTTTCAGACAGATGATACACAACTTCTTTAATACAAGCTCCATCCTTCCATTTATATCCTTGTCTCTAAACTTTTCAGATTGGCCTAGGGGTGGTTTACGGTACATAATAAACATGACAACTTTAAGAATGTTTGGTCCTACGACGGAAGCAACATCAAATCCTCTCGTGTTATCAAAAAACACTCTCGCTTTATACCCTTAATAAAGGTTTATTTTAGTAACAGCAGCCGACTGCTTTGTTACGATTAAAGGGATCTCCATTGACAAGAAATCCGTACCTGGTATTATCAATATCCGAGTGCCCTCTCACAAATTCATAGAGGTCTCTAAATTAAGAATTTCTACCCATCCTAAGGATTTCACACGTCACTTTCTCCCATTCTCTTTTTACGTACAGTGTGAGTTTCAAAGATATAATCCCGATGGTCTTTGCATAACTCAGATTGGATATATAGCTCATCCGCCTGTGTGCTAGTTCACAAACCTGCGTCTCACAAGATAGTCTTCTTAAATTATATGGACTAGTCACATTAATACCAGAGATGGTGTTATATCGTGATAAGAATAATGAGTGATAACTGTTTCAATCTATTTATGGACTAATGCTATAAATATATATTTTTATCGTATGATCGTTAAGTAACTAAACTATTCATATTCTCATTCCTCTTATTATGAGCTTTATTTTGACCAATGAACTATTATTATACAATTTACCATTCTTGAGTTAAGTCCAGTCTAGCAATTACTATCTCCAACATTCACAGCAACTTTTGGCTAAGTCCTGTGAAAATGTTATTTTCCATTTTATGGTACGATGTGGTCTGGTTGGTTTGTATATAAACCCAGTATGTTTGAAATAAACGATTCATATCTCAGAGGCTAAAATTGGTGTCCTGGGCTTAAGAGATAGGGCCAGGCAGCGAGAAGGACCGATAAAGACTCAAGACTGCTCGTAGGGGTTTTATACGTCATTGGACCAGTCGATAGATCACTGTTCTATAATTGGCAGTGTCATTACGTTATATATTGATAGGGACACAATCTCAAAAGATGTAACAGATGTTAAACATCTTGACAATAAACACATGGGCTACGATGTGCTTCTGACCTAATGCTTTAAAGTTTCATGATGGCAATGCACAATGAACAATAGCAGCCTTAGCTTCACCATTAAAATACTGAATCAAGTAATTGAACCTAGATCGGGATCCAACACATCAAAACAATCCTCTAGATTACATACAAAACTCCGTTAGTTCACAGGATCATCATCAAACCTTATGATTCCTTTCTTTGGTAGGTCTAAAGCTTTAGGTATCATTGTGACTCAGTCCTTTCGAGGAGGAGTGTCAACTGAACATGAAGCAGATGCAGACTCGTAAGACATCTTGTCAAACACAGCTTGATTATAATGTTCCTTTTCTCCTTGACATCAAACACAACCTTATTGCCAATATTCCGGCAACGTGCAATAGAGAACGTAGGTAACAAAAGTAAGCGTTTAATCAAAGTCACATAATAAAAACAGAACACGAAATGTGGTTAAAAGGAATCTGAATCAAGGTTAAAATACACAACAGGGAGAAGAAACAAATATACGACAGTATCGTACAACGGAGGGTTTTTTCTCTCCAGTACATACATCATGACATATCTACAATTTTAGGATTAAGTCTTTTATTAAAACAGTACTAACAGAGAACTTAAACCATAATCCTACAGACAAACAAACCCAATTTTCTTCATCGAATAATTTATCATCTGTTAATTTTGTCATTACGTGATACAAGACAGAACAAAATAGTTTCAGGCAGCCTATTTTCATCTAATAATATAACTGACCGTCATATGTTTCAACCGTAAAATGTTAGTAATCTTTAATAGCAGATAACTATCAGCACAAAACCAGTATTGTGGTTGAAATTCATCAATGAATTGTCTCCTTGATAGTAGTGTCATTCTACCTCAGTACAGTAATTTGGCATACAGAACGTTTAAATAAGCGCTTCTTTTAAAAATAGAATTTTGTATGAAATTACTAGCTTCAGTGCTTGTTTTTGAACGATTTCAACAAATACCAAGATGACACACAAAATTCTATGGAAACACACTGAGCCAGATCTTATGCCTTGTCATATAGACGCTGTAAAGAAAAGAATGTTCTTTTACTATGGTTATGAAAACTTTGAGATTGATGTGTTACTATAAAACGCTGTACTTACTTTAGGTTTCGACGTTTTACAACGTTTTACAACAACTCTGCATACAACTATTGTGGAACTATTTGCTCCAGTTTAGACGAATATCCTTGTGAAGAGTGAATGACAGCTTTAAGATTATTATCAGTGATGTAAAAGTATCACATCTGCAACTTCAGGAGGAGTCACATGAAAAGCAGTAACAGATCAAGTATAAGAACTTTCGTCTAAATTATATCGAACAATTCCAGAGTATTTGGGCACCGAGTTGATGCGAGACACTAAAGAGAACGAACGTATTTGTAGAATTTCAGCGAATAATATATTTACTTCAAATTCATTCTCTTAGATTTTACAATTACAGTAACAAATCAAGTGTTTTTTAGTGCCCCGACCATGTTGAGTGCTCTGTTTGTTGATATGAAAGTCACTTACGAGAAGCGACTAAAGGAATTTACACCGAAACCAGAGGTCGTGTAAAAACTCATGTCTTTGAGCTTCTTTTGAAAAGATACGCCGACTAAGGGAAGTCACGATATTCACTTCCAACAGGAGAGCACATTCAAAACATTATCCAATATCATGAAAACACACCATCTATTTGTAAGATTTAGTTCATAATTGTGTTATATGGATACAATCTCAGCAATTCTCAATTATTATGGTCAAAGAAATAGAGTCTCAGAGTTTCAACCCATGCGACTACTAAACAATATCAACAGAACAACAGTTCATTCGATTATTGTTATAATTGTGTGAATAGTGTTGGACAGCGCTACATTTGAACCCGGAGATTAGTGATGTCAAACTTCAGTTTACGAATCAAGGCTCCTCGAGGGGAGAAGACAGTTTCCGTCCCTAGTTCATGTTCAGTTAAAGAAGTAGTCTATTCGTTACCATAAATGTATCTTAATCTTATTGCAGCTTCGAGATGAAGCATCCAAAGCGTTCGAGACTCCATCAGAAAGACTCATTCTGATTTTTGGAGGCAAGATTCTAAAAGATGAAGATACTATTGAACAACTTAAAATAAAAGATGGATTTATTATCCATTTGGTGATTTCGGTAGGTTCATGGTCTGTGGTAATACTTATTCTTGTAGAAACAACAACAGGTTTGTTATATTAAAACTAAGTTTGAGTAGATTATAGCCCTCCCAGGTTAACCCAACAGGAACCTCTTCAGTTGTAACAGATGTGGGCAATAGACCAAGAGAAAGTAGAAGTCCAAGTAATCCATCACAAACTGGTGCTACTGGAGGTATGTTCCATGCAACACTGATCTTATCGAGTTTTCTTTGGTTTCATGTCTGGTTGTTTGAATATTTAACATAGTAGTACCTACCTCTACTCTACATGCAGCAGACTTATCTATATACTCGGATAACAAATTTGCTCAGAAATAACCCGTTCGTGTAGCTGTATAACTACCCTTCACTTTCATAATGTTTCCTTGATGTACATGTTTTTGTGGTATTTATAACCTCAACGTTAAATGTATCGGAATTCCTTGCAAGTGAAACAAAATTAGGATTATAACTTCAGTACACCAAGTGTGGATTGAAACCCTTATTGTAGGTCAGTATCATTCCTCTTATCGTAACGGAAAATTAGTTTTATACGGTAAATCTAAGCGCAACATTCTAACTGAAGTCATTTGTTCCTGTTTGTCCCGTTATCGCATGTTCACCACAGGTCCGGCAAGAAACCATTATATTCATTTTCACCAGATTCGTTATCACACGTTTCCTACATCGAATTACCAAAGCAATGTAGTTTGGTTTCAGGTATGTTGGTATATCAATACCTAAATGTGTTGTGATAAAAAATTATTCCAAAACCGTCAAGGCGTCTACGGTGCGTTGCGCTCATGTTAGTCGAAGAATAGTCATGAATGAATAGATGAGTATGCACCTAACGAAGATTCTAAGTTTATTGATCCATGTATCCGATGGTCGGAACTATCGTTTAATTGAAAGTCTCATTATGGACAAATATACGTTAGTATTGAAATGCGCTCAAAGAATTAGAACATGGTAAAACATTGTAATGTCTTGATAAAACGCACGGCATGCTAGTGTAGCTTCCTTCACATTGTGATTTAAAAATTTTTCTAACTACCGAAGGTTTTTCAAAAAAATGTTTGTATGATGACCTTTGTAGAAAATGTTAGACCTGTGCGTTTGTTCTAACAAAGTATTGTACTGTATTAATGATCTGAGTGGGTGTCACAGAGGCTAATTATTCCAAACCACCTCTTGTGTAAAAGATTTTTACTCATGAAGTTACTGGTTACTAATTTGATATGTAGGCTATCTGGCTGATTAGAGGTGGGCTCTTATTTTCCCCACTAAATAGATGTTTACGTGTCGTTTTTCTACTCAATCTTCTCAAGACACTTTTAACATTCGCGTTCCGTTAATTTGTTGAATTATATTCAGGTTTGTGTTTATAAACCTATTTTTACTCACGTTCATCAGGATATTCTCCATTTTCTGTTTCTCGTATATTTTAAAATCAATTGGCTGGTAAATACATGGTGTTTGACGATTTTCTAAGTAATGACGTCTTGAGGATTGGATTGGGTGTCCCTGCGGTTCCCAACACACATATTTTCTTCCCCAAGCTTGCACAGAAACAGCGGAAACTAAATCCATCAGTTAGCTGCAATCAAGCAATCATTACCGTAGTTTGCTCTATTATGTTTTCCTTCCTTTCTCTACCAAATGCTAGTGAATAGTATCATAGATTAAGTCGCTCTCAGAGACGTGGTAATCGGAAGTTTTGACTCTCGGTTAGCAGCTAGAACTTGCTGGTTAGTAGTTAAGGAGATAATTGGTTGTTACAAACGTACTTTTGTTTATTAAGACGGTGAATATGATTCTAATCAATAGACGCGCAGTTGTATGATATCATTAATGGGTAACTCACAAAGCCAAATCATTGACGCAAACCCCTAGATCAACATATATAGATAACAATGCCAAAAACAAGTTTATTTTTAACCAAATATAAGTGGTCGTACGACACGTCACACCTGCCAGTGAAATTAACGCCTGATCTCTGAGTTCAATTTTCATTCGTCCTAGTATTACATTTATATTGATGACATTATCTTTGGCTTTCAGGTAGACTGCAAATTAAAATTAAAGATGTGGGATATTTTGAACTTTGTCATTCATAAATAGATTTAAATTAACAAAGCATCGTTTGTATTTATAGTGAACACTTTTGCTGGTATGCAACAGGCTATGCAGGCTCAGGTGATGCAGAATCCCGAACTTCTTCGTAACATGCTAGACAGCCCTCTTGTTCAGTCTTTGATGAGCAATCCAGAGGTCATCAGAAGTTTGTTTCAAGCGAATCCTCAAATGCGTGATTTGATTGAGGTAAGTAAAAGGCAATAGTCTTAAAATATTAATTCTCTATTCCTTAATGTTCATTCGGTTGAACTAATACTACTATCATTATTTTTTTAGCGCAATCCTGAGTTAGGACATATGCTTAACAATCCAGATCTTCTTCGTCAGTCTATGGAGATAGCTCGCAATCCGGCTATGATGCAGGAGATGGTCCGTAATTATGACCGAGCAATTTCCAATCTGGAATCGGTGCCCGGAGGAATGAATCATTTACAACGGATATTTCGGGATATCCAAGAACCAATAATGGATGCAGCATCGAGCATTGGCTCCAGCTTAAGCGGTAATCAGTCAAATGGCAATTCGGAGCAAAATCCCTTCGCAAATTTAGCAGGTATGTATCCATTCACATAGCTTTATGTTTTTATCTATAAGTCAGTTGATCGCTCGATCGAAATTTCATAGTTTATTTAATAAACAACTGGTATCTTTCTGTTATCCTTCGTTAAATGACTAGTTAAAAACTATTTCAAATGTCTTCCTGGATCATTTAGGTGGTGTGCGACAAGGTGCTCCTGCCACTGAACCTATGCCGAATCCTTGGGCCCCAGCTACAACCAACTCAACTACAAATAACAATACTACAACAGCACCTAGTTCGGCGAATTCAAATCGTAACAGTGATTTTGTGCAAACTATGTTAAACCAACTATCTTCTAGTCCTGAGTTGGTATCGAATGCTTTTCAGGTGGGTGTATATGTAGTGATTGTTATTCAATAGGAATTATATCGTGTTTTTTTCGAGTTAAAAACGCAAATTTTATTAAGGGAATGAAATGTTTGAGATTCCTGTGGAAACATACTTCTACCTTCTATAAGGCTCTTGAGATTGAAAGGCATGAACATCGTAGTCATGTAAAAAAGACAATCGTCTCATCTGCCCCAGTGACCTGGTTTTATTCACCAGTTTCATAATAACTTCTTTTCAGTCTTAACCTACTTACTGTAAACGAAGATTATCAGAGCTACTTCGTAAACAAAAGTCTTGTAAAGTCCTCGAATATTCAAGATTTTATAACCGGTGATTCAGTGAATAATAGTAACTTTCCCGTGTTATTAAACAACGACCATTAATTTATTTGTAATCCTAAGATTGAATAACGTTTTGACGTTTATTTTTATAATCAGGTCCCATACGTGCAAGCCATGCTTGAAGCAATGAGTGCAAACCCTTCAGTTATGGAAAATCTAATCATGAATAATCCAATGATTTCTAGCGTTAATCCAAATGTACGTGATCAAATGCGACAAATGCTCCCACAATTAGCTAACCAGATCAATCAACCATCATTTATGAACATGTTATCAAATCCTCGTGCTCTCCAAGTAAGACATAGAATTTATTCTTTAAAATACCAATAATCTTGTTTTTTTATTATGATTCAAGAAATTAATAATTTGTTGAAATTAAAATATTTGTAAGTCACTTTTTATGTAAATATATAAACTTGCTACTTATGTGTATAACAGAAGGTAAACTGATAATTTATTATAGGCGTTGTCGGAGATCTGATATTGATACACGATATGTTACACGCTAACTTCCCATCTGACTACTTGAACGAAAACACAAAAACATACGAGAAAGCATACTGAGCTACCGAATAATATGCTCAAATACTCATTTATATATATACATCTCTGTCCCTTAGGTGATCAGTCCATTTCCTAATCAGTGATGTGCATTTGTCCTTCAGGTTGCTTTTGTCATCGTTTGACCACGTTTGGTCACTTCTGATTGCCTCACCATATCAGTTAGCTAAACTTCTTTTTGAAATAGTCCGAACATTTTTGTGCTCTCACTCAGAATTCAATAAATAGCTTATCAATTCTCCAGATAATAATAATGTTAGGATAAACATGTATATTTATTGATAAATCATTTTAGTCAACTAAGATTTATTTGCCACTTTCCTCTTATCATGCTTGTATTGAAGAAAATCATTACTTACACCTGTTGCCCCTCGTGGAGGAGCATAGGCCACTCACCAACATTCTCCATCCAACTCTGTCTTGAGCAATCCTTTCCAGTTACTATTAATTTATTTTATGTCTGCTTCCCATTCCCGACGCAATGTGTTCTTTGGTCTTCCTCTTTTCCTTCATAATGTTGAGTACATTATGTAGCGTCTGTCTTGCATAGATTTCAATCAATTATAATTAGGGAATTTTGTAAATACGTATGTATACTTGACCCTTACTATACACATTAAAATATCCTTAATAAGGGTGCTCTTACATGGTAAACGTTTTCTTTTCATTTTATGCTGAATAGGTAAAAGAACTGCACATTTTGTTTTACCAAAGTGGTAAATTTTATGAACCCGATGTAATATAGACTTGTTTTGTGGGTAAAATGTCAGTCTAATTGACTAAAATGTATAATAAGTTCATTCAATAACATTGAGCTTACCGTATACCTAGTTATATGGCGTTTCATTTCGGAACATTTCAAAACTTAAATTTAAAGGATGGACTACTCATAATCATGAATCAAAGTAAAAAGATGTTTAATGAATTTAAGTTTACCTAAACTTTAAGTGAAAATGTGGATAACTGTTTCACGTCTATATACTTTGAAGATTACTGAATGAATAAATATGAAATCAGTACCCTTACTACATTCTTTTAAATTATCATCAGCTCTATGTCATATCATCATTTATATTTAATCACCTACTACTTCATCTTATAACAATCGAATCAATAATCAGTTTATAATTTCATTATTAAACTCTTGATTCGTACATTAAATTGTTTAGTAATTTTCATGTTTGAAGAATATACACTCGAATACTAACTTCATGCACCAATAAAATGTAGTCTCAATTAATTATAAATCCTTAGCATATATTCTTACGGAGCAGTTATCTGTTGAATAATTTATACTGAATAGTTCAGTTGATAATCCTAACTGAAAGATTAACGTTTTTATTTTGTACCAATTAGGAAATTCTCTAGCTTGGATATTTCCGCATATCCAGATACTACACTTAAATAATCATGTTTTTTTTTGTTCATCTGTCAATTGTTGTTTTCCGAATAGTGAAATGCTATGTAGAGGTGTTAATATAGCATATACTTAATGCATAGTTGCATTACATACTAATTTAATTACATTGTAAATTTCTGAGGACTAATATATAGTTCCCTTTAATATTTATTTTCTCTACTCAACCCATGTGATAAATATAGCCTTTCCTTATTTTTTCCTAACATATTTTCTGATATCTGTTCCATGTGCGATCCTAAGTAATCCCGAAGTATAACTAAACAACTCGCCAGAACTTCTATTTTTTGATCATGATGAAATATTTTTGGCGAGTACACAAACATTTAGTAACTGTAACGTTCCTAACCAAATATTAATCTCGTTAAATGGGAATTGATTCGAGCGTATTAATATTTCAAGATTTCAAAACAGAAGAGTATGCTACTATGTAAAGTCCCATATGTTAAACTTTGCTTGACACATTCAATAAGTAGCTGTTGACATTTGACTTTATTGGTTTTCACGGTTTGCCAAATTCTGTAGCTTACATTCATTGAAGCGTCTAGGAGTATGAACTGTCAACTGTTCATTAATCTGTTCTGTAAGAATATACGGAGCTTCAAATCCATTTTTTGTTACAGATTTGACTCATGTATTTTTGATACTAATCATATACAAACTAAATGGATTTCTAAACTGTTTTGTTTTCTCCAAAGGCTATGATGCAGATCCAACAAGGACTTCAGACACTGCAACAAGAAGCTCCAGGTGTGTTAACTAGTTTAGGTATGTCTGCACCTACAACTGGTCCAGGTTCAGTTACATCTGGTACAACCCCAACTGCAGAAACCCCGGCAACAGCTCCTGGAGACAACTCTGACTCCACAACAGCTGATCGTACTACTGATACTACAGCCAATCCACCTAATCAAGCTGAATTGACCACACTATTATCCAGTATGCTGAATATGATGTCTACCACTAATAATGGATTGGGTGCCACAAACAATGCTGTAAGATAAAGTTTTACAATTTTCTATTCATTTGAATTCGTCCATAAAATTTACTTAGCACTTATGGAACATCTTTTTGACAATTTGCTACTTCTTTTATTTTGTAGCCACCTGAACAACGATATCAAGCTGAACTTGAAGTTCTCGCTAATATGGGCTTTGTTAACCGAGAAGCTAATTTGCAAGGTAAACTGTTCACTAACAATGTGCAGGTTTATAAAAAAAAGTTGTAAATCAATTTCTTTTATAAGGCATAAAAGTTTTGGCTGACTACCCTCTTGGTTAGACATTTATAATCGTCTAATATATTATGATATGTAAATACTAGATCTTTCTTATCATGGTTTATAATATACATGTATAGTTTCTTTTATTTTAGTCTAAAAATTACCCTTGTTGTATTTGAGATACTATCTTAGTATTCTGTTCAAAGTCAGTTAAGTAGGCGTTGGTGAGACGCTTAAACCATTAAGCTGCAGGTTGATTAAACTAACCTATAAAAAACTGAGTATTACTATCCCATTTTTGTTTATCATGACTCTTTGTTACCCTTTGTCGGTTGATTAAGTTAGTTTATATGTATATGCGTTTTTTTGTGTGCTTCACTATTTTTCTACTCATTTATTGCAGAATTCTTCGGTCTAGGTAAAAAGATATTTTTTACTGGCTGGTTGAAAGTTATACCATTAATACAGTAATCTTGATCTATACCCTTTCAAAATATTCTGTAATTTATTCTTCATGCATTTCACGAAATCGTATTATAACCAACATAGTCACTTAGTATCTATCCCTTTGTTGGAAAAACTTGATTACAAGTCAGTGGTGCACATGGGCTCCACGATCCTGAGGGAACAAATGACCTATGAACCAATCGTTGGTCACCGGCTACCATGGAACTTCGTTTACTTACTTTACTCCACTACCTTGTAGATTAGACCTTCTGGTCAAAGACTCTGTGTGTGGCCTCCTGAGAAAACCATGTGCTTCGGTTTGGGTACACACGCAGTATCCCAGCTCTCATATAAATCGAATGATTTATGTGGTGCATATCTATTTGGTGCCTCCTTTTACCAATGGTCATGTGTTCAAATAAAACAAATAAATAAATTTCGATATAAATAACATGATTTCACAGTTAGTACAATTGTAGTGAACAAGAATATAAGTGGGGGACAATGGAATGTATTTGACACGAAATTACGGAGCATCAATAAAATCTGAGAACCATATAGTAAACTGTTAGTTTGCAAAATATCAATCCATCGTTTCAAACTACACTGTTCCTTTTGCAAATATCAGTCAATCGTCTCAGATTTCATTGTTCATGAGTTTTCATACCAATTGCGTTCCGTTCCTCTTCTTTCTTCATCGACCTTCTACTGAAATACATTCTATACTTGATCACCGTTATATACTACTTATGTGGGTTTAAGTAACCCATACCACACAATTTCTATTTGGGTAGTTGATTGTCTCCTTTACTATAGTTTACAATTAACGTCCTGAAAACGTCTAACCATTTTCGTTTTTCATTAACTAAGAAAATGCTTAGTTGATAAGCATATTTTTAACTAACCAATCTATGTATTGGTTTTTTTATAGCATTGATCGCTACATTTGGGGATGTGAACGCAGCTATTGACCGACTCCTTCAATCAAATCAGTCAAGATAATGCCCCAGGTTGTTCACCCTAAATATTGACATTATATAGTACTTATTTCATTTCTAGAGAGGATATGCACTAATCTTTGGGTTTTCTTTTTCTAAACAAAGGAGACTGTCAATATGTATTTTTCATCAGTATATTTTTGCTGTCACAATTTTCATAAACTGTTGCATTATATGTACTTGTGTGCTGCTATTCAACAGTTTTGCTTTTTAGACTTGTCAAAAGCCTTTTCATTCTCTTTTGTTTTTATTCGCTTCTTATTAGAACAGTTCGTATATGTGTTCTGCATACTTTTTCATTAATTTTCATAAAGTATCAAATAAACTGCGCACATCACAGTAATTAATCCTCTTCTACATCTTTTATTGTTTGTTTGTTTGTTTTTGTTTTTTGTTTCTCTTCCCCCCTTCTTTTTTTCTGTTATACCCTCCATTTCTCTTTTCCTAAAATTGTCTGTCTAATGTGTTTTTTTGTTTTGTGTTTTTTTAAAGAAAAAAAAGGAAAAGACAATATGCAATTGTATTTGTTTCTCTTTTCTTTTTCTTTTTTCTCTTTGATTTGATGTGTTTACTAGCTCTGTATTTTGACATGGTTACGTAGAGAAAGAAGGAAAAAAAGAAAGAAAACAAGTAGAAAATGTTTTTCTTTTTCAGAAAAAAAAGTGTTTATTCTCCCGATGATTCTTGAATATTCTTACATATGGTCAATTGTGTTAACTTCATTTACATATATGTGGACCATTTTAGTTAAATAAGGAAAAAAAATGGATGTAATCTATAATATCAAAAAAATATATGCATATATAGACAAACAATATATAATTCTTTTAAAGTTAAATAAATGGTAGAATTTGTGTTTAGATATATGTGTGTATGAGATGTTTTTCATGTTTTGTTTCTCTCTTTTTTGATTCGTCAAGGGAGCTTCATCAGTTGAGATGGCTGAGACATATGTTACGTATGCTCAAGCACTGACTGCCTCGATGAGCGATGTTTTTTGGTGTAAGAGTAGATTGAAAGAAAGCTAGGGGTGGCCAAACCAAAAACATGGCACAAATCCATAAAGTCACTGACAAGTGAAGTGATCCATGTTGGTAGATGTAGACTATCTGGTTGGAATCGGCGAAACGATAGCAACCGATGGTTAGAGACCTTGAATGACATGGCTCAAAATGGCGCAGGTGCATCCACTCTCTGTGTTCTCCCAAATTCTAATCTTCTGAATTCTTCATGTCCCGTTTTCTTCTCTTTCCAAATTTATTTCACTGGATTATACTCCTTGAATAACATCTCCAAAATCTAATCTTTGTGATTACTGCTTATACTTTTATTTTCTCTACCACTACGGGGTTTGAATGGATAATTGTATCTGTGTGCTAATATGGTATGAAAACTTAAACTGATGTACTTGCGTACGAAGTTCTACGTTGTTGCGGACTGACTTGATTAGTCAAGTAATTATGTGTATTCATTGGTTTTAGTTATATATAGTGGAAAAAAATGTCTGTAAACATGAATATGTTTGTGTTTGTTGTATGAAGTTTTTCTGAATAAAGGTTTCCAGATGGTAGTTTTTGACCGACAGTTCTTTACTGTATAATATCAAAAGTAAATAATTGTAAATGTAGACATATCACACCTCACCTCAGCCCACGGATTTCCGTCTCTGGCGGTAAGACCCTTTGAAGAACGGAGCTAACACATTAGAAACCTCCGACAAAAAGACCGTGCGCGATCGGCCTCAAGCAGTTGTCCCTTGAGCTCTGCGGTCACGCACCCAGGTCGTCAAGACCAATGCTAATCCGATTTTTTTTCAGGTTCCTCAAGAAATACCCTTCCACGGTGTGGGCAGCCGGGAAGTGACATCAGCCCTCATACCCGTAACAGTACACGAGACCAAGTTGGTCACATTCAAATCCTTCCTACACCTCTCAATGACTCTCTTATCTCCACGACTAACCCTTCTCACGTCCCTTTATCACCTCGCTCCGCTAGTGCGAACGATTCGAGTACGCGGGACGTTATTCCTGGTCTCCTGAAATCACGCTCTGAACTACATATAGGCGCTTTCAACGTCCGAACACTGTACCAAATAGGACAACAGGTTTCCTTAGATAGAACTTTAGAATCTCGCTCCATCGATGTGTGCTGCGTCTCCGAAACGCGCACACAGGATCCGAGTAGTGTCATTCATTTGACCGCACCATGTCAAGGTGACGAACCAACTCGATTTACGCTTCGTGTATCTGGAAGTCCTGATGCTGCTTCCCGTGGCCTCGCTGGCGTAGATATAGCATTGAGTCCTAGGGTGGAACTAGCTCTCTTAGACTGGATCCCAGTAGACAGTCGTTTGTGCGCTGTTCGACTAAACGGAACAGTAAGGACTCGGAAAGATAGGGACACTCTTCGTTGCCTCTTCGTCGTCTCTGCCTACTCTCCCACTAACCGCAGCTCAGATGATGTGAAAGATGAGTTTTACAGAGAGCTTTCCGACCTTCTCCAAAAAGCTAGGCGTTCAGATGTAGTAATAGTGGCTGGTGACTTTAATGCTCAAGTAGGTAAACTAAGCGAAAGGGAAAGACACCTGAGTGGATCTTATGGTGTCGCGGCTCAAAGAACAGACAACGGTGACCGTCTGTTGCAGCTATGCTCAGATAACCGCCTGTTCCTTGCAAATACTAACTTTAAGCATAAGGAAAAACATCTTTTAACATGGCGACCCCCTAATTCGTCCCAACGCTGGACCCAAATAGATCACATTGCTATCAGTCACCGATGGAGGGGCTCGATAGAAGACTGTCGCTCATTCTGGTGCACATGCTTAGACTCAGATCATGCTCTAGTGCGAGCGCGTATTTGTCTACGTCTTACTGGACGTAGGAAAGATGTTGCAAAGAAACCCCTTAGGGTCCTACTTAATGATAGTCAAGCTAAGAATATATTTCAGGAACAACTAGAAAAACAGTTAGGCAGCTATGTAACTGATGCTCACCCCGAAGTAGCGTGGAATGACATCCGAAAGGCTGTAAAAACAGCAGTGATGTCTGCAAGTACGGTAAGCCATAGGGTTGGCGAGAAACATTGGATCTCAGCAGCACCTACCGCACTGATAAATGCTCGAAAACTCATTCCATCTGGCTCTGAACATAACGAAGAGCGGAGTCAGCTTAAGCGTAAACTGACCAGAAGCCTACGCAATGATCGTGAACAATGGTGGGTAGCGAAAGCAAGAGAAATGGAAAAGGCAGCGGCAATAGGTAACAACAGGCAACTGTTCAGACTTGTTAAGGAAACCGGTATTAGGAACCCAACTGTTAACGAAACAATCGCAGAGAAAGATGAACATATTATTCATTCTCAATCCACGAGATTGGATCGATGGGCAGAACACTTTAGGGATCAGTTCAACTGGCCCTCAGCCACACTTCGGTTTCCCACGATCTTCAATCTACCTGAATGGCAAGTTGATGTAAGTCCTCCGACTCTTTACGAAGTTGAAAAAGCTATAGGAAATCTGAAGCGAGGGAGAGCAGCAGGCCCTGATAGGTTTACCCCTGAGATTTTTAAGGATGGAGGTCCAGTATTAGCAGCGAGATTGACTGAGGTCTTAGGTAGAATCTGGGAACTGGACGTAATCCCATCTGACTGGTCTCAATCATTGATTGTACCAGTCTATAAGAAAGGACAAAAGTCTTCTTGTGACAATCACAGAGGAATTAGTTTGACTAATATAGTGTCTAGAATGTTAGCTTCAATAATACTTCGACGTCTAACCAAAGCAAGTGAAGAGCAGACTAGAGAAAACCAGGCTGGTTTCCGACCTGGGCGTGGTTGTATAGATCAGATATTCACACTACGTCAGGTCCTAGAACAGACACATTCAGAAGCCCCACAATAGTCGTATTTCTCGACCTTAAGGCGGCATTTGACTCAGTTGATCGTGAGGTTCTATGTTAGTGTTTGTCACTGAAAGGAGTACCACAGAAGTACATTAACCCTATAAAGGCTCTCTACTCGAACACAACTGGTCGAGTGAGAGCATTTGGCGAACTGTCATCAGAACTGATTACCTCAAGTGGTGTTCGTCGGGGCTGTCCACTCTCTCCATTCTTGTTTAACTTTGTCGTTGACGTGCTTTTAGAGATTACACTTTCCTCATCGATATTTCCAGGAGTTGAACTTTTAACGGGAGATTCACTTTTTGACTTAGAATATGCCGATGACATAGTTCTATTTTGTGAAGACGCTGACAAAATGCAGAGTCTGCTGACCACTCTAAGCAACAATGCATGCATGTTCGGCATGCGATTTTCTCCCTCGAAATGCAAAATGTTGCTTCAGGATTGGGTTGCATCGGCCCCCGATTTAGTGATAGGGAGTGAAGTAGTTGAGCGTGTCGACCGCTTCATTTATCTTGGAAGTCTCATCAACCCTTGTGGTCTGGTGTGACGAAATCTCAGCACGGATACAGAAGGCTCGACTAGGTTTTGCCAACTTGCGTCATTTATGGCGTAGGCGAGATATCCGTCTACCAACCAAAGGACGTGTTTACTGCGCAGCAGTTCGTTCTGTTGAACTTTATGGCAGTGAAACATGGCCGGTAATAGTAGAGGATATTCGTAGGTTACTAGTATTTGATCATAGGTGTTTTCGAAGCATTGCTCATATATCCTGGGACCACCGAGTAAGTAATGTAGTTGTTATGAAACGGGTACTAGGTAAGGATGACAAATCAATTGATGAAGTAGTGAAACTTCATCAGTTGAGATGGCTGAGACATGTGTTGCCCATGCCAGACCACCGACTGCCCCGACGTGCGATGTTTTATGGTGTTGGAATAGGTTGGAAGAAAGTTAGGGGCGGCCAGACCAAAACATGGCAGAAATCCATGAAGTCACTGACAAGTGGACTGAGCCATGTTGGTAGATGTAGACTACCTGGTTGGGGACCGCGAGATGATAGCAACCGATGGTTAGAGACCTTGAATGACATGGCTCAAAATCGTTTGCAATGGCGCAGGTGCACCCACTCTCTGTGTTCTCTCAAACTCTAATCTTCTGAATTCTCCATGTCCTTTATTTTCTTTCCAAATCTATTCCACTGGACTATACTCCTTAAATAACATCATCAAACCTTAATGTTCCCTGTCACTACTTATACTTTCACTACCTCTACCACTATGGGAATTTAATCGATAACTGAATCTCTGTGCTAATGTGGTATGGCAACTCGAACTGATGTACGTACGTACGAAGTTCCACGTTGTTACTGACTGACTGACTGAGGTTGTAGCTGATGGTATCTGGTCAACAGATCTGACGTAGATAATTGTTTATAAATACTTGTACTATTTTGATGATTATAGTAGTTTTCCACGTTTCAGCTCTGTACAACAGGACTGTTTTGACGTTTGTATTGAGAATTCTAAATTAGGTGTTGTTAGACTGACAATTGTCTTAAGTTCCATATGTTCTTCGGTCGTAGGAATTCTACCCTTGCTTTGCTGATAGTAGTGTGGTGCCTCTGCGGTTTTTTACAATTGCTGAAATCTTTCTTTACTATCTTCATGAAGTATCCTTTTTTCTAATCTGTCGGCATTTGCTCTTTCCAAACCTTTCTGAATAAAACGTGGATCATCTTTTGCAGTTGTTTATATGTCTGACCTCGGTGCTTTAGCTGATATGTTATCTGATCCTTCTACTTAGTTTAACAGCCCTATTGATTTCTTTGATCGTCGTTAGGATGATAAACTTAGTAATGTTTATGGAAAGATTAGCGAAATAGTTTGGTTCTGTCAGTCAGACATGTTTATGAGTGATGCTTATCTGGTTTCCAGGATTTTATATTCATTTAAGTAATACCTCTTTTATCAACTTGACTTAATGACATTATTGTTGATTATGTTACGTGTTGCGTATGCCTGAACACCGATTACCACGACGCGCAATGCTGACCGGTGTTAGGGATAATTGGAAGAAAGTTAGGGGTGGCCAAACCAAAACGTGGCATCAGTGTTTGAAGTCACTAACTTCTGATCTGAGCCATGTTGGTAGATGCAGACTACTTGGTTGGGGTCCGTGTGACTATTGTAACCAATCGTTGGAGACTCTTGGTGACATGGCTCAGAATCGATCACAATGGCGTCGGTGTATACACTCTGTCTTCCCTTAAACTAAGAGATTAAAATCGCTTCATATCTTTTTTTCTGCGAACTAATTCTTTCTTCCTGTACTATCTCCTTATATGCAATCTTTCTCCTATATATTACCACCACTGAATTAACTACTTCTATGAATCCGGTGTTCATCTTGTGCTAATGCGGTACGGCAACTTGGACCGATGCGCATATATGCCTGGTCCTACGTTGCAGCTGACTGACTGACCCTTTTACAAGAACGATAGGTTTCTAAGGTTTCATATTCTTTTAGAGTATTGGTCACTTGAATCGCTTCTCATTAGCTTTTAAATTCTATTATTATCCATATAAAGTTTTAATATTTGAAAGTTACTTGGTAAAGCTCAGACTATTGTAATCTTCTATCTTGGTGGTGAACTTTTTACTTACTATCACTAATGTATTTACCACATAACTTCACTTTTCTAATATTCTCAAGTTTACATTACTACTGTGAAAATAATACATTTTCACCGTCCGTATTTATATTGTTCCGGCGCTTTAACTGGGCTGGTAGTTATAGAAGACCAAACAAGGGCAGTTGGGGAACCCTCCTTCCGGACCAATGCTGCACATGGGTTCCAGTATCCTGAAGGAACAAATGTCATATGAACCAATCGTTGGTCACCGGCCACCATGTGACTGCATCTGACGTTGCTCCACTGCCTTGTGGATCAGACCTTCAGGTCAATGTCTCCGAGTGTGTCCCCTAATAAAACCACCTGGTTCGGTTTGGGCACCCGGTCAGTATCACAGCCTACACACAAACCAAGTGACTTGAGTGGCGCGTACATATTTGATGCCTCCTTGTACCAATACTTATGTGTTGAGATAAACAATAAATAAATATTATTCCATTAATAAGGTTGTATTTCTAAGCTGCATCAAAATAATGAGTGTTAATTTGTTAAAATTAATAGCTTACTTTATTTTACTTAAAGGCAGTTGTAACTACCTCGACTTAGTAAGTGACACATGCATAATAAACCAATAGTTGTCACCCAAAAATAATCAGCTATTTCATGATTCCATGTCATAGATAAATCAACTTTATGTTTCTAATCCTTCTCATTGTCTGATAACAATGCTTGACGTGTAAGCTACCAGGGTGTCACAAGCCTTTTAGCTATCTATACCGGCTGTTAGTCTACTGTATTTGGACAGACGTTTTCATAACCGTACATTAAGTTCATTGTACTTCTGGAGTTGCGCAACAGTCCCCAAAAGTCAATCATGATCGAACTTTAAGCGATATCAAAAGTATTTAGATTATAAATCTTTTGTTATACAGAGACTAGATCTATTTCACTTTTACACAATGTTGTAAGCAGCCAGACGCAAACATTTTGAATATTTCCAAATGCTTTCTACGATAGAGTGAGTGACGGATTCTCACAAAATTAAAGAGGTATTTCGATTAGAAAATGTATCTATGCTTCTGGATTCAACCCAAAATGGCTTGTTATCGTTATAAAGGGTGATTGGAATGAATCCCTATTAAAATGGCAGATACTCTACTATAAACAACTGTTTATAATTTACAGTGGAACTAATATTAAGGATTCATGAAGCATCTTATTTCAATGCAATTGTTAGCTGTTATCTTAATGACAAAGAAATTTATTAGGAATGAAAACAATAAGTTAGTTATTTCTGTTGTTTTTCTCTTATTGACTGATGAAGTTGTAAATGTTCATTGAATGAAGTGGTTAGACCATATGTTTCATCTGCCTAAACAACTTATACTTAGACTAGAGATGTTTACCAGTAAGCTAAAAAAGAAAAGCTACGGATGATCGAATCAAAACTTAGCATCAGTTCACGAAGTCACTACCTGTTGATCTGAACCATGTTAGTGGTTACAAACTATCTGGTTGTAGTTAACGCAGACTTTAGGTGACATAACTCAAAATTGTTCATAATAGTGTAGATGCATTCATTCTTTATCTTTCTTTGAATCTTACATCTCAATATTTGTGTGTACATACTTTTAAACTCGGTCTTCATGAAATATATTATTAATGCCATAGTCTTTCTAACTGTCATTACCACTACATTATTCCAATCTCTCACTATTAATCTTATCAATATAATCTCATCATGCTAATCTGTATAGTATGGTAATTATGGGCAAACACCTATCTGTGCCAAGCTCTACGTTGGTAATTATTGATTGATTTTTTGTTACATAATTCATCAGGATTTGTTCCAAAGATTATTAATTACTCTAAAGATTGTTTTAGTTAGGGTTTTTTTTCATCAGGTTACTAACAATCAATCAAGATCTAGTAGTATTTCATATATTGTGTTCAAACATTGATTAGTCGAATAGATGATTAATTGTATAACTGTCTGTACTATAAGTGTACATTTAACAACAAACCTGTATATCTTGTATCGTTGTATTGTTATACTAATTCCTCAAATACACTACTATTAGCTATATTGTTGTGTATGCTACTTATATTGATAGATATAAGTAGTATGTAACACCAGTCAGAAGTGGAGTGCATTCTGGCAGAAGATTGAGTAATTGTAATAACAACAAGAATGAAGGAACAATCTAGTTTGTAAGAGACAGCTCATGGAAGATGTATTTAATTTATGGTTTTCATATTTTACAAAAGCACCTAAGTTCTGATTCACTACAATATAACGTAAACATGTAACTCCCAACCACTGGATTACATTCGAACCTAACAAATTCTTCAATCTGTAATGTGAAATAATGTCAGTCATCGGACATATAGTGCACAAACTGCAAGGACATCGCTGCATATCATGATGACACAATTGAACTCTGTTGATTGAAACACTCGTCCTTCTAGGTACTACTATACCATAGAGGTTGGTTGTAGAGCAGCAAGAATAAAGTCAGAAAACTTATGACTCGGTAGCGAAAATGTCGGAGTGTGGTGTCAATCAAGTGTTTCCTTCAGACAAATCCGATCCCAGTCTAGTCCTTCAAGAAGAAATGTCTTTTCATGTTGCAGACAATTCAGAAGTGATAGCCTCCCTTATACCTCCAACAGCACAACACTGTAGCTAACACCAGTGTATCACGAACACTAAATGATATTTCTATATTTTCTGACTAAGTTATAGATAATCTCCTATTCTAACAACAAATTTCCAAATTATATCACCTAAATATATGGTGAATTGATATCTTACTATAAAACAGTGTAAAATAATATATGTACGTTCTTATTGTATGACTATTAACTGACTATTATATGTATATTCATATTCCCTTCATTATAAGCTTCCATTTGACCTATTGACTACTATTATACGATTTGTTATTCTTAAGTTATTTGCAATTTATTAGTTACAGCTTCTCATAGTCACAGTCACATTTGGCTTGAACTTGTACAACTGTTAGTTTCTATTTTATGGTGTGATGTTGTCTGTTCGGTTTGTATATAAATCAAGTACATTTGAAATATATGATTCATATCGCGGAGTCTGAAATTGATGTTCTGGACGTAATAAGATTGAAAACAATTTAAAAAGAAGCTGTGATCAATGGAGTTCAAGCTGGTCTCTTGTGAGATAGTGACTCACTGATGACAATGGTGTAAGCTGGCTGAATTTCGTGAATTGGTTGAAGTTAGACATTAACACCATTGAATAACGACTCAGTGGTCTACAAGTTAAGCGTTCACGTGCGAGACCGATAGTCCCTGTGTTTCGCGTTCAGCGGGCAGGATCGTGGATATACACTTTTGAAGAGTCCCATATTAGGACGAAGCGGTCATCCAATGCTTCCAGGTTTTCTATAGTGATCTAGCTTTAATTGATTCATGAATTCTACTATTTTATTTTATTTTACAACCTTATATTCACATACTATGATTACGTAAACCAGGTATTTCGCCTCAAACCTGACAAGTTCTTTGGATTAATAATATAGATAATATGAATTGTGGAACTTGAAGAGAATTTATCAAAAATAAAAAAAACAGAATATTCTTCGTTCATAGATCTGTATTTCTTCAAAGTATTATATGTTGCCAAGATAAAAAAAGGGGGGGGGAGAACTCCATAGTGATATTATTACACTTTACCTATCATTGAGAAGAATGTGGTTATATATATATATATATATATATATATATATATATATATATATATATATAGGAGAGAGAGAGAGAGAGAGAGAGACTAAACTTTCATGCCTATACCATCAGGGATATTGGAATTGTTTCTAGAATGATATATAATATTGTTTTCTGATATTTTCTCAATAATTTTAGGCAATTCAAGAAGTTTATTGTTTTTATTATTACCATTATTATTGATATTATTATTATTATTATTATTATGATTATTCCGTAGAAACAGATTGCATGATCTACTTCGAGGAATTAAATCATTGTTATTTCTTCCAACTCTTCTTCCTCCTCCTACTCCTCCCCCTCCTCCTTCTCCTATTATTGACATATTTCTTTTGGCTGTATTGTTAGTATTAGTTATTATTGCTGAATGTGTTTTTATATGATGACCTGTAGTAGTAGTAGTAGTAGTAAAGTTTGGTAACGGTGGAGGATATGGTATTCCAATATCATTCGTTATTGTTTTCATAGTTTCATGGTTCATTGTTGATTTGTATGGATGATTTTTATCAATTATTGGTATTAATTGACTCTGAATTAATTGTAATTGATGTTTTGCTTCCAAATGTATTTGTTTTAAATATTTTAATACATCAATGTTTGTTACATTATCAGTAGACTTTAGTTTGGAAATTTTTGTCTCTAACTGAAATGATAATTAGAAAATGTTAAGATTTAATCAATCAATAATATTTGATTGAGATTATGAACCGATTGATGTTAAATCACCATTGGAAATCTGGAAGCAGTGGACGGCCGTTTCGTCCTATTGTGGGACTACTCAGCAGTGCGCACCCATGATCCTGCTCATGGGATTCGAACACGCGAACGCTTAACCTATTGGACCACTGAGCCGGCATTCAATGGTGCCGGTCCAGTAGGTTAAGCGTTCATATGCGAGACCGAAGGCCTCGGGTTTGAATCCCGCGATCGGGGTCATGGATGCACACTGCTGAGGAGTCCCACAATAGGACGAAACGGCCGTCCAGTGCGTCCAGATTTCTAATGGTGGTCTAACATCAATAGGTTCATGATCTTAATCAAAAACTTAATAATCTCAACAACCCCTTTACTAATAATATTTGAGCTAAATAGTCTACTACTTAAGACTTATTTAACTTTGACCCTTTTAATGTAACTATGAATCATGACATTGTACCAGTCTTTTAGATAAACATGATTAAGCCTTGTTATTGATTCATTATGTTGTATCCCTGTTACTACTTGATATACATGTGTTTACTGTCCTCTTTGTAATTGACTATTTTATAATTTTGTACTCATTGTATTAATTTATATTTTAGAAATAGGTTGATAGTGGTTAAAAGCAGTAAAATCTAGGACACTTGTTTTACCCTATTTCAAACTCATCAACTGGATGTACTTGCATACTAGAGTTGATGTTCATTATGGGACTCGAACCAAGTAATGTCCATTTAAAACGTTATTATGTTAACAAATTAGCTAATGAGTTCAGATATCCATTAACTTATACAATCGGGTGGAGTTTTATTCATTTTTCTATGGGTTATTTTAACCTTTCAATGACATTCAGGACTGCAATTAATCAGTCTCTTATTGGGATATGTGTATACTGTGCTAATTGCTTTGAGTCACAAGTATTAAAAACCATCATCCATCTTTGTTTATAATGCTTGTGACTTAAGGCAATATCGAAGCAATCCTCACAGGATGTACATATGCCGATAAGAGATTGAACTATTGTAGTACTAATCATCAATGAGAAGATTCAAACACCCAATACAAATGAATGATAATAATGATTGTTACAGTAGCGATCTCAACACATTAAGGTACATATCTGAGTCAAGCTTAACATTAATCATTCCTTCTTGAATGAATAATAAACAATCATAAACTCAAGACATCATACTGTAACCGATTTCTTTTTCTAATGTATTAGTACAACATTTCACTTATTATATTATCTTCTTCCTAATCAGTCTAGGCAAATCAAAACAATTTAACCTTTTTATCGAAGTACATATAATTTTCATAACAACCATCAGACTATTTACAACGTTCTTTCTCAGACCTTCATATTTGTTCAAGTTAATGTATTAACATCAAGCTGTAATTGAAAGGTTATGTGATTTTAAATAGTTGCCAGGTTATCACCGACATGATGTATCTAAGTCTTCAGGGAATTAATGCTCCTTGTGGAAATCAAACTAGAGTTTACCTAGCTTTCAAGTCTAAGATGTTAACATTGAGTCAATTAAGACACTACTAACCTTCTATGATACTATAATTAAACAATATTCCAGTTTCTTAAATTAACTAGGTTTTTCATGGTAGTCGAGCTTCGGTTGATTCATGAATTCAACTATTAAATTATTATAATATCCACAAAACCCCTGTAAATGTGGAACGTAGTAATTGATAGACTGGGTATAACTCAAGAATGGTGAATCATATAATAACAGCTCATAGGTTAAAATAAAGCTTATGATAAGAGGGACGCGAATATGAATAGTTTAGTTACTTAACAATTATACGACAAAAATATACGTATAGTACTGATCCATAAATGGATTACAAAAGTTATCATCCTTTACCCTCATCGGGATACAACATTCATTATAGTCATCATATGCTCACTAGTGACGATCACCAAGAGGTATTTCCTGGAGTTCTAGTAACTAGTGGAGTTCAACAAGGTCTGTTTTGAGATAGTAACTCAGTAAACACAATGGTAGATATATCACTCAATTTCATGGATCAGTTGAATTTAGACATTAACATCGTTGGATGTCAGCTCAGTGATCTACAAGTTAAGCAGTCACGCGCGGGATTGATAGATCTTAGGTTGGAATCTTGCGAGTCGGGATCGTGTATACGCACTGCTGAGGAGTCCGACAATAAGACGAAACGACCGTTCTAGTACTTCTAGTTTTTCCATGTTGGTTCAATTGATTCATGAATTCAACCATTAAATTACTTTTAAAAGATTTTAAAACAATTCAACTCTATTATAACATGTGTTTAAAGTTTCTGTTATTAAGTTCATTTAGGTCAAAGTATAACTAACATAAACAACTTCTCTCTTTCTTTCTTTCTTTCTTCTCTTTTATTGATTATTACAGTTTTATTCATCAGACACATCATCTTATATCAACATCTTTGTTCAAATTACATTTCAAGTCAATTATACAGTTTAGTTCTTATAAAACTAAGGTCAAAACTTCAATCTACATAATTAACGGGGTTGATTATCGATTTGATATATTTTTCTTCTGAAGGTTAAAAAAAGGTCGAAAACGGTAATCTTTACTTTTAATGTTGTTGACTTCTATATGCTAGAGGTGGTTGAATTGTATGAAATGTACTTTATAGAGTTCCTGAGAATTATTGTCAACATTATCCGGAACTTATACGATGGACTACAGTGCAAAGTTGTGCATTGACCATTGCCATAAGTCAGTTACTATCTCATAACAGACCTGGTTGAAATTCACTGGTAATTGCTTCTCACTAGAACTCCAGGAAATAATTCTTGAAGCCAGTCACTAGTGAGCTTATACTTTCAAGTGTTCCATGATGATCTAACTTCAATTAACTCATAATCTCAACTATAATAAAAATTTTCTTATTTTTCAAACTTACATTGTTTATAAATCGTTCCACAAATTTCTGAAATTAAAATTAAAAGTAATAAATATGAATCAATTTTTATTGTTCATATGTAACTACAAACAGAATCAATAAATTATTGTATATATATGCAACCATTTGGAACTAGAAAAGAAGGCACAGGACAGAGTGGGTTGGAGAATGCTGGTCGGCGGCCTATGCTCCATTGGGAGTAACAGGCGTAAATAAGTAAGTAAGTATATGCAACTATTATTACTCGCTTACTTACTTGCTTACTTACTTTCTTACGTACTTAGTTACTCACTTACCTACCTACTTACTTTCCTACTTGCTTACTTAATTACGTACTTAGTTGCTCACTTACCTACTTTCTTAATCGCAAACTTACTTACTTTCTTGCTCGCGAACTTACGTACTTGCTTGCTTACTTACTTACTTACTTACTTTATTTACTTATGCCTGTTACTCCCAATGGAGCATAGGCTGCCGTCCAGTATTGTCAACCCAACTCTGTCCTAAGCGTTCTTTTCTAGTTCTATCCCAATTATTGTTCATTCTTTTCATGTCTATCTCGATTTCTCTGGGTATTATTATTATTATTATTTTTATATAGAAGGAGTGTTCTTTCTTTATTGTTAATATTTAAGTTATCCATTAGATCTTATTAGACACTAGTCAATTGAATGTTATTATGACATATCTATTCTGAATGGATTCAAGTCTCATTAGCATTAAAATGAAAGTGTAATTAATGACAGAAATCCTAAATAAAACAAGTTTAATAGACTGTTGTACATAATTATAACGGGTTATGTATTCGTTTATTATTATTATTGTTGGGGTATTTAGAAAATACCCCAGAAATTATCTAGTGCTATTCCTGAATGAGAAATAGTGTCATTGCCCCATTGGTCAACATTCTTCCAAAGTGTCATTTCCCTATTGGTCAATATTTATTTGTGTCATTTCCTGAAGGTTAAATCTTGTACAAATGTTACTTTCTATTTTATGGTACGATGTAGTCTGTTTGATTGCTATACAAACAGAGTATGTTTGAAATATAATGATTCATATCTCCGAGGCTGAGACTTGTGTTCTGGACTCAACTGGTGGGGCTAGACAGGGAAGCGGGGCCAATCAGGACTCTAGGCTGCTCGCTCGTATTTTATGCGTCAGTGTTTTGATCGATAATACGCTGCTCTCTAATAGGCGGATCACACGTTATAACAATTATTATTATTATTATTATTATTATTATTATTATTATTATTATTATTATTGTCATTGATGGCTTTATTCAATATTATATCCTTGGTACAATATAGAATTCTCAACTCCAGGTATTTCAAAAAGTTTCTTTTACAAAAACAAAAAAAAGCAAAACAAAAACAACAACAATAAAAAGAAAAGAAAAAAGGTGAAAAAGAAAAATCTGAATCTGTACAATATTTCAATTTAAAGATATGTTCAATTCGACAGGTTATTGACTAAGTTAACTCTAACAATCTATCTGTCATAGAGTATAATTTCTAGGTAAGGTATTCTAGAACTTTTATACTTTTGCTTGCATGCGTTGGTTTTAATGTAATTATGTCTCGTTCTACCAGAAGATATACAAGGAGAAAGATATGAATGAAAGGGATGGTTAGTATCTGATAAAATAACACCTGCCAGGAGTTTGCATGACTTTAGATGTCTATCCACAACCATATGAATAATGACCTCAAAAGATTCATCATACACACCTTGCTCTAACTGCTTTCAACACTGTACGCAATACAGCAAAGTCTTTTTTCAAAAGTCCAGGAAAGAATAATGGAGAACAGTAAAGAACAATAGGTAATATGCAAGAAATGACAAGTCGCAAGAGTAAATGACGAGTAATCCCCAAAACATACAGCCTATTTATGTAGTAAGTCAAACGGAAAACTTTCTTTGATAACAGTGAAACATGAGAAGACCAAGTGAGATCAGAGGAAATGGTAACACTAAGATATGTGACTTATTATTAAATTAATTACAATCAATTTAAGCTTGATCTTTATTCAGCCTTATGTGAAATTATAAAATCCTTTTTAGTTAACTCATTTTCATTGCTACAATCAATATGCCCTGTTACGGTTGAGGGTAGGGGGAGTCAACTCTCCCTCTCGAAATACTCTCATATGGCTACGTGAATACAACCACTGACAGGAAAGTCCTACTCGTTGACTTCTCATGGCATTATTGTTGTTTACGACATTGAGAGGACGAAAAGCAAATGTCCGATGCCTTAATTGGATTGGTGGACAGGGAGAGTCCACCTAGGGGAGTTGGAGAACCCTCATCGCAAACCAATCGTGCTCATGGGCTCCAGTATCCTGAAGGAAAAAATATCGTATGAACCAACCGTTGGTCACCGGCTACCATGGGACTGTATCTCCTTATGTTGCTCCACTGCCTTATGGATCAGACTTTTAGGTCGAAGGCTCCGGGTGTGGCCCCCCTAAGAAATCCACCTGCTTCCGTCTGGGTAACCGGGCAATATCGTAGCCCATAAATAGATCAGGTAACTTGTGTGGCGCATATGTATTCGGTGCCCCTTTGTACCAATAATTATATGTTCAAGTAAATAAATAATTAACTACATTGGGATAGAAAGGAATTTGTTGATTGTGATTGTTATGAACTTCTTTTATTACCATGAAGATTTGTAAAGTGATTGTTCGATTTGAAATTAAATAATTTTGACAGTTGAACTCATGGGTCGATTTAAACTAAACCACCATTGGAAACCTAGAAACATTGGACGGCTATCTTGTTCTAGTATGAGACTCCACAGCAGCACTCATCCATGATTCTGCATGTGGGACTCGAACCCAAGATCTTAGAGCTCGCGTGCGAACGCCTAACCTCTAGATAACTCAGTCCGCATCAAACGGTGTTAATGTCTAACTTCAATCGGTCCATGATTCTGTAAAACCCTTCACCCATTACTTGAGGTGGATAACTGTCTCACACTCGACACGGATTGGACTCCACTGATCACTGTTTCTCACAAAACCTTCGAGAAGTACCTCTCGAATGTAGTGATCAATGAGCACATGCTAATTATCAGAATGGGGATTTGTGGAGATTGGATGCCGGCTCAGTGTTCTTAAAGTCAAGCGTTCATGAGCGGGTCCTGCGTGCAGGATCGTGGATGAGCTCTTCTGATGAGCTACATGCTAGGATGAAATAGCCGCTTGATATTTCTAGGTTTTTAATGATGACTTACCTTAAATCAACTCATGAATTCAACTATCAAATTACCACAATATCCACAAATCCCCATTCTGTTCAATGATTTTCATCATGAATTGGTAATAAATGGTGGAAAATAGTATACTAGAGAGTATTGAACAACCGATTTGTTTTTTATTTTAAATTATTCGTTAATGTGTTTCAATTGAGCGATGATTCAGTGATTACATGGATTTAACTAGTGAGTAAGAGTCTCTTGTTTGGTCTATCTACTTTGGTTTGGGTACCCATTTAATATCATTAATCTTTACATAAAGATATTCTGGTTGAAATTTAGGTGTATAAACTTGCTATTCGATAAATAAATGAACTAGTTACGTAATACTCTCGTAATGTTATTTAAACCAGTAATTTGAGTTGTTTGACTTTTCGATTGGTGTTTAGAACTGTAACTGATCGGTCTCTTATCAACATATGTATATCGTGTGCGGATTACTTCGACATTGCCTTAAATCACAAGCCTTATGAGAAGAGATGGATGGTGGCTAGCAGTGGAATCCAGGATGTCCTATTTGAGACTCCTTAGCTGGGCTCAAGGCAATATCAAGGTGATCCGAACAGGATGCACATATCCTGAACGCCAACCAAAGATTAAAACAACCCATACAAAGGTGAATTAAACTCCACCTGATTGCACGAACTAGTGGTTATCTGGACTCAGTAGCTAATTGGACTACATGATGGCTTTTGAAGCGAACAGTACTTGGCTCGAGTCCCGTAGTGGAAATCGACTCCGGTATGCAGGTATACTCATCTGACGAGTCCCAAAAAGGAAGAAAGCGTGTCTTGAATTTTACTGCTAGCCACTATCAATCTCTGCCAATAATTTGAGATTTGATTATAGCATTAACATTACCTTCTGACTACTGAGCAGGAATTCAAGATAAAGTTCAGAGATTTATATTAGTTATTTATTTTAACACATAAGTATAGGTACAGGGAGGCACCAAATACATATGCGCCACACAAATCTCAATTGATTTGTGTGAGGGCTGTGATACTGCCCGGGTGCCCAAACCGAAGCAGGTGGTTTTCTTAGGGGATCACACCCCGAGCCTTCGACCTGAACGTCTGACCCACAAGGCAGTGGAGCATCGTGAGATGCAGTCCCATGGTAGCCGGTGACCAACGATTGGTTCATACGCCATTTGTTCCTTCAGGATACTGGAGCCCATGTGCACCATTGGTTTGGGGTCCGGTTAAAGGGCCAGACATTCGCTTTTCGTCCTCTCATTTTTGTAAACAACACCCCCGCCACGAGAAGGCAGTGAGTAGGACTTCCCTGGCAGAGGCTATATACGCATGGCCATGTGAGAGCATTTCGAGAGGGAGAGCGGACTCTCCCCATTCTCGTCCGTACCAGGGCATTTGGGGGCAAAGTTCAGAGAGAACTCGATCTGAAGTTTACGCTAATCATTTTATCTCAAAAGACAATGAAAGCACTGTGATTAAATCCCTCAGCTTAGAAAAAGCAACCCAGCCAAAATCATCTCTGTTAGCTATAAATCTCCTCCATCATTTTACAACTGTAATTCAATACTTCGTCGTTTTAACTTCAATTATTTCTTATAATCATTATCCTATGATCATCAACCAACGCCATCATTGTAAGTACTTTATTTTTAATTTCATTTAAATCTATACACATAAAATCAAAGATAAGCCTCAAGATGAGTTTATCATTCGAGTGGTTACCATTTATATATTTTGGATTATATATATATATATATATATATATATATATATATATATATATGGTTTGGATTATTATTTATCGTTAGCGTTTTTTTAGGGAGTTAGTTTTCTAAAGGATGGGGTCGCTAACCCCATGCCAAACCCTCCTCCTTTACATGGGCCTGGGACAGAAGGTAGCACCAGAGGGGTTTCAGGCGAAGTTATATATATATATATATATATATATATATGTATAACTGTGAATATTACGAGTACAATTATAATGTAAATAGCGGTAAAATAAAAATTGCTCAAATGTTCCTTACTCGTTGAGCACGTATTGTTTGTGCATTAGTCAGATCGATATTTTCCCAAACTGTACGAATTCTCTGTAAAATTAAAAAAAGCATTGTTGAATGTTGTAATAATTTCTATTTTTTGTGTATAAAACAAGGATGAAATGAAATGTTATTATATATTACTATAGTGGATGCTACTCACAAGATTGTTTGTAAGTAGTACATAGTGGAACGTTGCATTGAATTTATAACAATTATCGAAGGGAAAGAAGACTTTCAGTGAATCAGAAGCACAGCATTTTTAGAACACTTGATCAATAGAGCCGCGAGCTACTGAGTTGTTCCTTCTCTAGGACCCCAACTAGAGAACTTTGACGAACCAACTGCTGCCAGTTTTAGACAAATTTCTTTTATATCACTAAGGTATGTCATAAACTGACCACCTCTTAACTACACCTGAAGCCCCTCCGGAGCTACTTCTGGCCCCAAGGAAAAGGGTTGGGTGTGGTTAGCGACCCCATACCGTAGAAAACTAACTCTCTACAAAAGCTAACCAGAAAGAAATTATTCAAACTATTTAAACTCTGCCCTGGGAGTTAGAAAGTCTTCATTTAGAGAAGCTATGACGCTTCATGGTAAAAGCCAAATTCCTTCGAAAGTCACAAGGCTGATGCCCCTTCTGACAACCAGAGAAACCATTAATTTAGGTACATGAAATGCTCATACAATATGGGAGATCGGGAGAGTCTTCCAAGTTGCAAGTTCCTGCAGACCATCTTTCAGCTTTTTCCACTCAATCCTAAAGTTAACAACTAGTCCCTAATATAGAAAGAGCTAGAATGAAATTTGTTAAAAGTGATCAAACCACCAAAACATGTGCTTCAAGATGGTGATATACTATACTTGAACATATGTCCCTGAACTTAGATCCTGGTAACATGTGATTGCTACTGGATACTACTAGTCTTTTATAGACAACGAAAATTGGACACAAGGAGTAGCCAGACGTTCTCAACTTAATGAAGTCAACGGTAAGACTCAAATCTTAGACATCCTATGTGTTTAATTTTACTGTTATCCGATCAACTTATTTGATATGATAATTGCAAAAATGCTTGAACTAGTGTAGTTCAACTTGGTTGCTATGATAAATAACCAAATCTGTTCACTGCTTTGAGACAACATCTATAACTTATGAAATTTCTTTTTACATAACTTTTTAATTAATTTTTAATAATCGGATTCATGAGCCAATTTACGCTAGACCATTATGGAAAATCTGGAAGCATTGGACGGCCGTTTCTTTCTATTATGGGGCTCCTCAGTGGCGGTGCGTAAACACGATCCCGCCTCACGAGATTCGGACTTAAGACTCTTGGTCTCGCACGCGAACATTTAACCTCTAGACCACTGAGCCGGCTGGCAACCAACAGTGTTAATGTCTAACTTCAATGAATCCACGAAATTGAGCCACCATCATTAATGAGTTACTATCTCACAACAGACCCGGTTGTAATAATGCATTAACATTTTCAGACAAAAAAATGGAAAAAATATCCAATGTCTACGTTTTAAACTATACATTGACCTACTTGACATGAACGATGAAATAATCTTTTCTCAACAAAACATGGTATACCATGATTTGATTGTCCAGCATATTTATTAAGATAATATAACCTTCTATTTAATTTTTCATTATGATTCTAATGTATAGAAAAGGCATACATAAATATAAGGTTAATTAGACTGAATTGAAAAACATATGGAACTGAAAACAACTGTCTGTCAACTAGCATCAATGTCACAATCTTCAATACGAACGTCCAGACAGCTAGTTCTGATGTTTGGAGTTGAAACTTCGAGAACTACTACAACCATCATCAAGAAGATACAAGTATTTATAAACAATTGTCTACACAAGATACTCAACATCCAATGGCCGGATACCATCAGCAACAGCCCACCATAGGAGAGAACAAACCAGCTTCCAGCTGAAGTGGAAATCAGGAAAAGACGTTGGAAGTGACTAGGACATACATTGAGGAGAGTTGTATGGCGAGTGTTTGTGGGTGGCCTATGCTCTTCCACGAGGAGTAATAGGCGTAAGTAAGTAAGTAGGTAAATAAGTAAGTAAGACTGATTTGTGCTCTAATTTAAAATAAGTGGTGATAGATGTTCAATTTACCAGAACAACAATAATTCAAATGTCATTAAGAGTTGAATTCAAAAGATTTGTGAATAGTCTGTTATTTTGGAAACATGTCTGGTAATTATTTATGAGGAGTCCCATACTAGGACAGAACTGCCGTTCCAGTGCTTCTAAGTTTTTCATAGTGATCTAGCTTTAATTGACTCATAGATTCAACCATTAAAATTATTAAAATCTCCACAAAATCCCCCTTATGATAGTTATGAATTCATTAGATGAAGCTCGAGTCCCGCAAGTGGGATTGTGGATGTTCACTGCCTAGAAGTTCCGTACTAGGATGAAACAGCCATTTCAGTTCTTCCAGGTTTTCTATGGTGGTCTAGCTTTAATTGTCTCATGAATTCAACGGTTAAATTATTTATGAGTGATTCAATAAAGTACTTAGTTCTAACCATCATTGATGGTATCAAAGTTCAAAATGCTTTTCAGTGTTTAAAAAGAAAAAAATCAATAATGGTGACATGATCTGAATGATAACGAATGGACTATTGGATGAAGTAGGTTCTTATAAAAATGATCAATCTATCTTAAACTATACAAAAATCTTCTCTGATCCATCTTTATCTTTGTATCAGTTAGATCTGAATTATCTGGATTTTGATGTTCTTGATTAGTTAACTGATGTAATCTATAGTATGTTTATGTGATCATAAGATAGTGGAGAAGATTTGTAGATCAGGTGGATGATTTTGATAAAGTTTTGTTCTTTGAGCTGGATGGTTTAGTCGTGGAACATTTATCATTCTTCTGAACCGATATCATCAGCGCAAACTTCAGATGAAAGTCTTCTACATGAAGATCAAATCATCCAGCTCAAAGAACAAAACTTCATCAAAATATCTGATCATAAATTATTTGAACTTGTAACCATGGACTGTTGGATTATGATTCTTTGGCTCATCAGGAAATTTGAAGTTCCGCTAATTCAGTTTCGTATAAAGTTTTAGGTGAGTATCTCTTTAGCAAAATTTATTACATATACTTATTTATAACTCTCAAGACGTGAGACGTTGGTTGTTTTAAAGGGATTTTGAAAGACTATCAAGGATGGACAAATTAAGATATGTAACCAGTTCATGAAGCACTTAGATATTAGACTGACTTATATCGTTAGGTTTAGATCACCTGGTTAGAAGTGGTAAGTGTCATGGCATAGAATCTGTGACAATGGTCTAAATGTATTCATTCTTCATCTTTCCTATGATCTTAAGTATTAAGTCTTTTTAAGAAAAAAAAATAAAATAAAACAACCTATTCAGAGTATAGCAACTCGTTAATAAAAGACATTTCGATCTTCATAACTTTTCAAAAACATGAGTGTTGCTCAGAGACACCACTGAACCCAAACCTTTCATGGATTGATTAAAATACTATCGTAGACTTATATAATTCTAGTGAAGATTGTGCATACCTTATTCACTCTGCAGTTTTATTGTCTATGGTTAAGTATCTAAAGAGGTTTTGTGGAGATCGTAACAATTTCATTAGTTGAGATTATGAGTCAACTGAAGCTAGACTACCATGAACAACCTGGAAGCAACTGGAACGACTGTTTCGTCCTATTGTCAGACTCCTCACTGGCAATACGCATCCACGATCTTGCCTCGCTGCATTCGAACTCAGGATCTATCAATCTCGCGCGCGAAAGCTTAACCTCTAGATCACTGATCCGGCCGGCATCCAACAGTATTCATGTCTAATTTCAACTAATCCACAAAATTGAGCGACACATTCACTATTATCATCAGTGAGTTACTGTCTCACAACAGACCCGAATGAACTCTACTGGTCACTGCTTCTCTTGAAGCCAGTCACTAATGAGCATATGTTCATTCATACTATATATATATATATATATTCCTGCAAGGGTCGTCTAATTATGGTTATATATGTGTTCTAATTAAATAATAATAATAATTTCTTTTTGTCTCTCAGGTGAACATACAATTTGGAATCAGTTTAAATAATATTGACTAAACTATTGATAATAGTAACTAGACAACATATTACATACCCATCCAACCAACCAACCAACCATCCACCCACCCACCCATACATACATACATACATACAAACAAAAAAACAAGTACATTTATCAACAGAAGAAAACCGATCAATAAATCAGTCCTTATGACTATAATTAACCATCGTAATGATATAATACATTGAATAAACATTACAATTTATATATAATATTAGACAAATTATTCTTTATAGTTAACTTATTATTATTATCATCTTTTATTATAGTTTACCTGTTCAGATGATGTAACTTTTACTTCTATTTGTGATGACGACGATGTCGATGATGATGATGATGACGATGGCGGTAATGGTGGTGATAATACAGTTGAATTAGATGATAATAGTTTTGAATGATTACTAGAATGATCATTGTTTTGATTTTGATTAGTTGAATTATTTTTATATGATTGTTTTTGTATAGAAGAGAATTGATGATGATGACGAGGATGACGAGGATGGTGATGATGACGAGGATGACGATCATGAAGTGTTTGTAATTTCTTTTTCTTATTCTTTTTTCTTTTCTTTAATTTATATGATCTTGTAATGTTATGATCAATATTATTTGACTGTTTTAATTGGTTCGATTGATCTAATATGATCGTTTGTATTTGATTAGTTAAAATTAGATCACCACGTAAACTATAATATTGATTTAATGAATTTTGATCAGTTATTGTCATTTCTGGTTCACTATCTGAATTGGAATCTGAAGTACTAAATTACAAAAAAAAAACAATGGTAAATAATAATAATCTTATTAAAGAGGAAGGGGGGATAATTAGTTGGTTACATGAACTATTTAAGGTTGATTGATGGAACAAAGTAGTTGTCAAAATATGAAGAAAAGAAAAATGTCCATCCTAATAATTGTGTAAGGATTAATGTGAAACATGAATGTCTACGCTTTCTCTTCCTGTATTTATTGATTGTCGACTAGATTATGAAAACCTGGACATCTGAGGAAAAGCACGGAATACAACGTAGAGCTCATAATCAATTAGAAGATTTGGAATTGACAGATGACCTGGCTCTTTTATCTCATACACATGAACAAATGCAGAAGAAGACAACTAGTGTAGCAACAGCCTGTGCATCAGTGGGCTTCAACATACACAAAGGAAAAAGTAAGAATTTCAAAGCAAGATTTTACAGTGCGGAAAATATCAACCCAACCACTCTTAATGGCGAAACTCTGGAAGATGTGAAATATTTCACATACTTGGGAAGCATCATCGATAAACAAGGAGAATTCGATGCCGAAGTAAAGGCGAAAATTGGAAAAGTAAGGGCATGATTCCTATTATTGAAGAACATATGGTACTGAAAACAACTGTCTGTCAACCAGTATCAAAGTTACAATCTTCAATATGAATGTCAAGACAACTAGTTCTACTGTACGGAGTTGAAACTTCGAGAACTGCAACCATCATCACAAAGATACAAGTATTTATAAACAGTTGTCTACGCAAGATACTCAACACCCGTTGGCCGGATACCATCAGGAACAACACGCTGCGGGAGAGGGGTAACAGGCGTAAGTAAGTATCCTATTAAGTTTTAACTGTAAACATTTAATGGTTATCGAGTTTGCAATGATACCAACTATTAAAAAGTAATAATACTGATAAAAATGAGAAACCTGTATGACTGAGTGAAAACACTTGTGCATGTATGACTAGATGTAGTGGGTCCTAATCCTATGGAGATCATCAGTTCTGTTCAGATTGTAGATACTGCTTACTGATAAGTTCCAACTGACACGGGAACTTAGTTTTAGGGAGTTCTGATGTTTATCTCGACATATCTTGTATAGAATATAGTGCACAAAGACATCTAGCCGCTTAGACTAGTAGCTATAGAGCAACTTAATCAACAGCATACTAGGGATTAGACAAACATAAAATCGGTTACTGCTCAATGATAAACTTATGCTTTTGGTTGCGCTATGAAGATCTATCCATGTACAATTTGATATCTTAAAATTATTTATTAGATCCCATTAGGTTCATAGATTTGAACTGGTTAAGAATCATCGAAGTAATGTGAAACAACTATTAACAGCATTTGATTTAGATCATGAATTAATCAATGTTAGACCAGCATTGAACAACCGTTTCATTCTAGTATACATTCGGTTGTCCCACCACTGTTCTGATTCACAACCCTTTGATAGATTATAATTATTGATAGTTATAATTGTCATCTAAGTTTCTGGTTATTGAATACTGCCAAAATGAAAATGTATGATAAATTGATTACTTATTGGGATCATCATATGTTTCCTCGGTGATATGCACTATCATAAAGTGTTTATTTAATCATAAGGTCAGATATCCTCTAGTATAATATACAAAACAAATGTTCCCATTCAGTTACGATAGTTGAAATTTCAAGAAATAACCTTTTTATATCTTATTTACTAAGTACAAGTTAATACATACACTTTTGAGTTATAGCGTTTGTGTAAGGGCGATAGAACTATACTAAATTATTTTTTTATTTGAACATATAAATATCGGTACAAAGGTGCACTGAATAAATATACGCCGCCCAAGTCAGTTGATTTTTGTGTGTGCTATGATACTACCCGGGTGCCCAAATCGAAGCAGGTGGTCTTCTTAAGGGGTCATACTCAGACTCTTCAACCTCAATGTCGGATTCACAAACCAGTGGAGCGACATCAGAAGGTGCAACCACACGACCGGTAATTGGTTAGTGCACCATTTGTTTCTTCATGATACTGGAGCTTATGTGCACCATTGGTTTGAAATGAGGGTTTTTCAACTCTCCCAGATGGATCCGCCATATCCACTAACCCATATATTCGGTTTTCGTCCTCTCAATTTCGTAAACAACAATAATGCCACGGGAAGTCAATGAGTAGGACTCCTCTGTCAGTGGTTGTATACACGTGGCCATGTGAGAGCATTTGGAGAGGGATAACTAACTCTCTCCACTCTCGACCGTATCACAGCATTTGTAGGCAAACTATACTAAACCAACGAATCAATCAGATTTAAGGTAGTGTTTTTTTATTTCAGGGTGGAATTCAATACTAAGTAAAGAACAATTAGTACGGAATTGAAAACACGCTTAAGAATAAATATAAGTAGTCAATTAGGTGTTCTTATGAATATTATAGTAATTTAATAGTTGAATTTATGAGTCAATTAAAGCTTGATCACTATGGAAAACCTGGAATCACTAGATGGTTGTTTCGTCCTAGTACAGGACTCTTCAGTAATATTCATCTAGTGATCATAACAGTAACCATGAGGGAACTAAGTAGATTTTCATTACAAATAAATATTCTAACATAATTTATAAACTTATCAAAGTATATAAAACATGTTTGAATTATATAATCAAAGAAATGACTCAGTCAGTCACTCAGTAACAATGTGGAACTTTGTACGTACGTACATCAGTTCGAGTTGCCATACCACATTAGCACAGAGATTCAGTTATCGATTAAATTCCCATAGTGGTAGAGGTAGTGAAAATATAAGTAGTGACAGGGAACATTAAGGTTTGATGATGTTATTTAAGGAGTATAGTCCAGTGGAATAGATTTGGAAAGAAAATAAAGGACATGAAGTATTCAGAAGATTAGATTTTGAGAGAACACAGAGAGTGGGTGCACCTGCGCCATTGCAAACGATTTTGAGCCATGTCATTCATTCATTATTATCTTAAAAGCATTCCATCATACATTTATCTTTACTGATAATGATAATACCTAACCTTAACTCTTTATCGTATCATGAGACTTCATAATTGTGATGAAAGCTTATTTGCATGTTAATGCTTTACATTTTTCTGATTACGTAATAACTGGAAGAGATTATCCAAGGTTACTTTTAGAAGCTTTCAAAGTTATCTATGTTCTATAAGTAGTAATAATCAGTTTTTGTGACTCAGTAGTTAAGTGGATAACTCGATGGTGTTTGAAGCGAACGATATTGGGTTCGAGTCCCAGAGTGAACATCAACTCTGAAATGCAGATACATGTAACTGACGAGTCCCAAATAGGATGAAACATGCGTCCCGGATTTCACTGTTAATGAGTTTTCAAATAAGAAATTTTCTTAAAAAAAGCTTATAATGGAATTGTAACACTGATTTTCTAAAGGGTCAATTATTCTCAGCACAAAGTATTACAACAAGTTTCCATTTCTTATTTGTTGATTAATCCTGACGATCAATATTAAGTGATTGGCAGTTTAGAAATCGACATCTGATTGATGCATATATTCTTTTCAATGCATACTGCCAATCATCATAATGTCTCCGATTGCACATTTTTGTTACTTGTACATTCTGTTTTTTTTCTTTTTTTTTGCGAAATCTCCGTCGCCAATTCTTTGTGACTTTAAGCTCGGTTAGTTATCACGTGATTTATCCGTTAATTGAAATACGGTTTATACAATATTAGCACTGTACTAAACCAATTATGTTCGACCGGTATGAGCAGACTAGCTTCTTTATGGGTCCTTTGTTCGCTTAGTCCGTCCAACTGAGTCTAGAGCGTCAATAACAGCTTCCACTATGCGAATCATTTATTTCAAACATACTTGGTTCACATACCAGCCAAACAGACCGTATCACACTATAAAATAGGAAATAACATTCATATACAATAAAGCCAAAAAGTGGCTGTGAACGTAGGAAACTGAGTATAACTTAAGAACAGTAAATCGTACAATAATAATCTATAGATCAAAATGAAACTTATAATAAAGGGAATAGAGACATACAATAAGAATATATGTATAACATTGGTCCATGAATACATCTCAGAAGTTATTCGTAATCTAATCTTTTCTACGATATAACAGTACAACGAAGGGTCATAAACATTTCATAAACACACCTGAATACGTTATGAGACTAATAGGCAAACAAAAAAGAAAACATATAACTTGTTGAAATATTCAGATGACAGGAACAAGTAGACCAGATATTCAAGTAGATCACCATATTCTAATTTTATCTTGACTAAGATTAATTAGTTTAATCTGGTTAACATTTTCATGTTCAAACCTTCTTCTTTATCTGAGCATAGAATCAGTAATAATTCTAGAAGATCTACAGGTACAGTTCATTTACTACGTTAGTTAACATTAGTATCATAAAGGGTTATGTGAATAGTATAGTAAGTTTAATAGTTCAATTCATGAGTCCATTGAAGATGAGACCATCATAGAATACCTAGAAGCACTGGATGACCATTTCATCTTACTGTAGAACTTAATGGATCTAATAATCAAGCACTTACTCATAAGACTTACCAATTGAAATCATTATCATTTGTATTATATAATTCATTTTCATTATATTCAATATTATGTAATTCTATTGATTTTTCTAATGTATGTATTGTTTTAGCTAATTGTTCTAATGAATCATTCATTTGATCATTATCAATATGATCAACATCAATTTGATCGGGATCATTTAATGAATAATTTAATATTGAATTATGATCATGATTATTACTATGATTAAATTGTTCATTATTAATAGATGATTGAAAGAGTTGCTTATTAGTAGTATATAATTGTAATTTGATAAAATCATATGATTTCTTATTAAAGATTGACAGATCATCTTGTTCATAATATAGAAGTAGTAGTAGAAGAAGAAGAAGATATCATTATGAATCAGTTTATTATGGATAATTGAATTTGTTTTATACAACTAAAATCTGATCGTAAAATGTATTATTCAGATGTGTGTATATATATACAACTTATGCCTTTTACCGCTCATGAAGGAGTATAGGCCATATATCAGCACTATCCATCCTGCCCCCAAATGCCCTGGTATGGCCGAGAGTGGGAAGAGTCAGCTCTCCTTCTCGAAATATTCTCACATGGCCACGTGTATATAGCCTCTGCCAGGGAAGTTCTACTCATTGCCTTCTCGTGGCGGGGGTGTTGTTTACGGAAATAAGAGAACGAAAAGCGAATGTCCGGCGCTTTATTTAGTGATTCTTCAGATAATTATAAGCAAAGATAGATAGTGGCTAGCAGTGGAATCCAGTTTGACGCACGTTTCGTACTATTTTGGACTTGTCAGCTGGATGTACTTGGATATCAGAGTAGATGTTCACTCTGGAACTCGAACTTAGTACCGTTCACTTCAAACGACATCGCATTATCCACTTAGCTATTGAGTCCTGATAGTCACTTACTTGTGCAATAGGGTGAAGTTTAAGTTCACTTGGTATTATTTACTTGGATCTACCCATTGACATTTAAGACTGTGATCGATCAGTCTGTTATTGACATATGTGCATTCTGTGAGTATTGCTTCTATATAGCCTTAATTCACAAGCATAATAAGCAAAGATGGATTGTGGCTAGCAGTTTAACGAACGGTAATGGGTTCGAGTCCCACAGTGAACATCAACTCTGAGATGCAGGTTCATCCACCTGACAAGTCCATAATAGTACGAAAAGCGCATTCTGGATTCCACTACTAGCCACTATTCATCTTTGCTTATAATGCTTGTGACTTAAGGCAAGATTGAGTCAATACGCAGAGTATGCACATATACTAATAAGACACTGATCAATTGTAGTCCGAAACATCAATGGGAAGATTGAAGTAAATAATATCAAGTGAATTCGATCCTTCAGATCCTGTCAAACTGTCGACTTAGAGTTACCTGGAGAAATTGATCTTGCCAAAATTTCTAATGTAAGTCAATCAATAAAATACAATAAAATTAGTTATTGTTTCAGACCTAATCATCATATTAGATGGATAAGATCAAGTCACTGAATTATCATCATTGTGGATCAATCATTAAATTACAATAGATTGATCGAATACATTTCATTATACTACTTAGTTTATCTTATTTCAGAAAACCTGTCAGATTTGACTACTCTGAGTTGATAATGAACACATGATGAACGATGATTGGGTGTTTAATCTATATGTTCTGGTGATTATATATGTATGAATCAATTATTCGATCTGTTGAACAATCAATACTTGGTTATATTGTACCAATGAGTTGATCTATTGATCCATATTCGATCTATTTTGAACCTAATCACTAGAAACTTTGTTCATTTATCAAATCCTTTCTTAATAACAAAGTGATGTAATACTAGTATGTCAAACATTTAAACAACCATCAAGGAAAGAATCAATGTACGAGTAATTATTTATTTAATTAAACACATAAATATTAGTAAAAGGAGGCACCAAATGAATATGCACCACATAAATCATCCGATTTGTGTGAGACCTGGGATACTGACCGAGTGCCCAAACGAAGCAGATGGTTTTCTTAGGGGTTCATAGCCGGAGTCTCTGACCTAAAGGTCTTATCCACAAGGCAGTGGAACAACGTTAGGAGCTGCAAACACATGATACGCTATTTGTTCACTCAGTATCATGGAGCCCATGAGCACCATTCATTTGAAATCAAGGTTTTCCAACTGCCCTAGATGGATCCTCCATATCCACTAACCCGGTTAAAGCGTTGGACATTCTCTTTTCATCCTCTAAATTTCGTAAACAACAATAATGCCAGGAGCAGGCAGTGAATAGGACATCCCTGATAGTGGTTGTATATGTGTGATCATGTGAGAACATTTTCAGAGGGAGAGCTAACCCTCCCCACTGTCAACCGTACCAGGGCATTTGGAGATCTACGAGTAATTGCAACTCACTTAGCGAAAATCTCAAATAACATGGAACGTTCTAAATGAAGTTTTTGTTTCAAACATCATCGTTATTAAGAATTTATTATTCTCATAGATTACTGATGTGATCTTCTACTGAATAATGACATTTTCTCTAAAACATATTTAATGGTAAGTTTTTGATTGATATCATGAACCGATTGATGTCAGACCACCATTGAAAACATAGAAGCAGTGGATGAACGTTTTGTCCTATTATTGAACTCCTCAGCAGTGCGCACCCACAATCCCGCCCTTGAGATTCAAACTCAGGGCCTTCGGTCTGGCATGCGAACGCTTAACCTCCGGACCACTGAGTAGGTATGAGTTAAATACTAAATTATTTTGTATACGTATATGTTATATGACAGTTATGTAATATACCCTTGTGGGCCAGGGCAATTTTACATTGATTTTCAGGAGAACCAGACACCATCCAGGCTTAAACTTTATAACCCGAGCAGTACAGCTCAATACCGTTTCACAGGAAAACCAAACATCATATAGGTTTTAACGCTACAATCTGGATGGTACAGCACAATCCAGTGGCGAAACCACACAGGTACCAAGCACACTGGTGGGCCATACGTTATATGAGAACTCAGCTAGTATGAGTTTCAGTTATGGACTTAACTAATCACATTTCAACGAGCATAACACTAGACTAAAATTACAGAACAAGAAATAAAAAAGTAATCAAAGATGATGCATAGCCCAATTGATGTAATCTAAACAGATGACTACTGGATCATAACAACAGTGCCCCTATGTTCTCAGAAGTAACTACTCACAAGTTTCTACTACGTATTTAAGGTGATCAACAGACATAAGATGACCAACCTTGATCACTGAATTCAGTCCTCTATGATGAAGTCACTGAATTAACTGATTTTTTAAGAACAAACATCATACGCCGTTTGTTTCCTTAGGATTCTGGAGCCCATGTGCACCATTCATTTGAAATCAAGGTTTTCCAACTGCCCTAGGTAGATCCTCCATATCCACTAACCCAGTTAAAGCGTTGAACATTCTCTTTCCATACTCCCAATTTCGTAAACAACAATAATGCCAAGAGCAGGCAGTAAGTAGGACTCCCCTGCCAGTGGTTGTATACGCGTGGTGATATGAGAGCATTTGGAAGGGGAGAGCTAACTTCTCCCACTCTCGACCGTACCAGAGCATTTGGGTGCCAAACACTTTAATTATGAATAAAATTTATAGATTACACATAATGTTACCTTTATGTTCTTCATCTATTGTATTTTCAGGTGTCAATGGAATTTTTGTCATCCATAAATTGGTAAGCGTTTGATGTGCTAAATTCTTTAGAGTTTCTTTAAGTTTTCTAATTGGTTGAAAATAAATGTAGAAATATATTATGTAATAGGAGTAACCAGAGTTCATGATTTCTATCATTCAATATTCATGAAATAAAATCAATAGAATTCTACCATTTATTTTAATAGTTATGTTTCCTCCTGGAGCCCCTCTGAAGCTACTGCCGGTTCCGAGCCCGGATAAAGGAGTAGAGTTGGGTATGAGACTAGCGACCCCATCCCGTAGAAAACTAACTCGCTAAAAAAAGCGCTAACCAGAAAAAATTATCCAATACTACAAATCCATTGGTCAAACACTATCAGTAATAACATGATTCGGCGAAGAATAAACCAGCTTCCGAAAGAAGAAGATGAAGTAATTACGTGGAGACTCTTGAGATGAATAGAGCATACACTGCGGAAATTATGAAACTGTATGATAAAGTAAACCCTAACTTAGAATCTTGAAGACAAAAGTACAGAGTACATATATTGCAGTGTAAATAGGAAGCAGACATCAAAAGTATGAATAGCACTCGAGAACAACTGGAAAGCACAGTTCAGGACAAAGTATATTTAAGATTATTGATTAGCAGCTTATGCTCTACAAAAGATAACAGCAATACGTAAGTCTGTTTCAATGGATTTAAATAAATAAATTAATTAATATTGATCGAATAGCGTAGTATTAGATTCATTGACATTGCCTGCACTATATCAAGTCACGTAGACTAATGATCACATTACAACTTGGTCGATAGGATTCAATCTGCACTAAGAAGAATTTAACATACATGACATTGATCACCACCCAATGATCGATTGATCGATCGTAAATAGTGACACGTTTAATTAAAATAGATCAGTGATATCACGGAGATCAACTGCAACGGTTTGGTTTTCGCTACGAATGTCATATCCAGCGATTCAAGTTCATTTTGTATTCATTTATCAAGTAATTATTGTACATTAGAATGTAATTTCCATTCGAGATTTCATTTAATGTCCTATAATTTTGGTTTCTTTTCATTTAATTTGTTTATTTAAGTTACACTAAATATATTCATACTAGATAGTCGTAGGTGGCTTGAATTATTTTTTCTGGTTAGCGTTTTTTAGCGAGTTAGTGTACTACAGGATGGAGTCGCTAACTCCATGCCCCAACCCTTTTCCTTCATTCGGGCTTGGGACCGGCAGTAGCATCAGAAGGGCTCCAGGTGAAGTAGATAAACACCAATCAAATCACACTTGGTGGAGAAGCTTTGGAAGATGTAAAAACTTTTAAACATCTGGGCAGCATCATTGATGAACACGGGGGATCTGACGCTCATGTCAAGGCGTCGATCGGCAAAGCAAGAGCAACATATCTAAAAATGAAGAACATCTGGAACTCAAAACAACTATCTGTCAACCAACAGCCAATTTAGAAATTTCAATACATATGTCAAGACAGTTTCACTGTATATGGCGGAAACTTGGAGAACTACGAAAGTCATCATCCAGAACATACAAATGTTTATTAACAGTTGTCTATGCAAAATATTTCGGATCTGTTGGCCGGACACTATCATCAACAACCTACTATAGGAGAGAACAAACTATATCCCAGCGGAGGAAGAAATCAGGAAGAACCGCTGGAAGTGGACAGGACACACATTGAAGAAAACACCTAACTCCGTCACACGGTAAGCCCTCACATGGAATCCTCAATATCAAAGGTAAAGATGTAGACCAAAGAACACATTAGGCGGGGAAATGGAGACAGACATTTAAAGAATGAACAACAATTGGATAGAACTAGAATGGAAGGCCCAGGAAACAATAGGTTGAAGAATACTTATCGACCACCTATACTCCATTAGGAATGACAAGCGTAAGTGCGTAAACTATGTAAGACAGTTGTAGATAAGTTCAAAAACATAAAATCCACTATTCAATGTAAAGTACACTTCACAATATGACATTTACTCATTACAATGAAAGTACCTCAATATTTAATACCAATACAATATTTACTTACAATGGATTACATAATACATCATAAAATTTATATAATGAATATCCTAATATTTCACCCATTTTCATAAAATCGTCCACTTCAAATTTCATCAAACTATTACTGATTAAATAAAAAAAAGAAAAGAAAAGAAAAGAGAAGAAATTTGGCAGTTAGTGATAAACAATATTGTACTTGGTATAGGTATGTACATATGTGTGTGTGTGTGGGGTGTGTGTGTATGTGTGTATACTGATCCTTATTATTACAATATTTCGTAACAATACAGAAAATGAGTGAACTATTACATAATATGAATAATCAATAAATCGATATAATAACACTGATCAATAATTGGAAATCAATAATTGAAAATATAGTATAAATGTAATAAACCAGGGTAGGATATAATAGATAGACATATTTTACGCTGTATCACTTCAATTCTATCATTATCATTTATGATTATCTTGAGGAATATGATGGGAAATTTTATATCCCTTAATATGATTGTAACTAAGAGACAGTAAGTAATATAAGTCACAGAGTGATTTCATTCAAGGTACCATAGAGAAACATAAAGTATTAGACAGTTGTTTTGTTCTATTTTTGGAACTCCTTAAAAAAATGGGTAATCACGACCTTCATGAGAATCAAACTCAGAACCATCAGGTCACTTGAGAGACGTTTACCATATTACAATCCTAACTTCTATGAATTTATGATATAGTTCGATGATCATTCAATTTTCTGGGTGACAATTTATTCATTATTATTATTTTTTGATTGAGATCATGAACTGATTGACGTTAGACCAGAGTTGGTAACCCGAAAGCACTGGAATACCGATCTCCCTATTGAGGGACTCCTTAGCAGTGCGTATCTACGATCCCGTGGTATGCAGTTTCGCGCGCGAATGCTTAACCTACTGGAGCACTGAGCCGGCATCCAATGGTATTAGTGTTTCATTATTGACATATCTGAACATCACAAGTTATGAATTCTCATTAAAACTATAGAAACAACCTGAAGTAAGTCACTATCTACCTACAAATGATAAGAATCTCCATAGAACTGATAACTTCCGACTAATCTTTAATCATGTTAGGCACTTCTTTCGAACTGTGTCGTGGAAGACAATAACAAAAATAAAAAAATAATGAAAAAGTATTGATTTTTTCTTCCAAAAACTAACTTTTGTAAAGTTGAACCATTAAATGTTGCTTCTAAAGTGAAACTATTAATCACTTCAAATTCTCTCCAAAATACCACTCGACTTGTAGATTCTTTACTTGGATGAACAGTGAATCGACAATTTGGAAATGAAAAATACGAAGTGGCCTGACAAAAAAAAGAATATAAAATGGATAGTGTGATGTTTACTACTGATTTTGACAGATATAAATAGTATGTGTCACCCATCAATCGAAAGTGAAATGTCTGGCGGCAGAAGGTTAAGACTTACACACCTACTTTCGCCTGTTACTCCTCATGAAGAAGCATAGGCCGCTTACCAGCATTCTTCATCCAACCCTGTCCCAAGCAATCCTTTCCAGCTCTTTCCAGTTCTTATTCATCCCTTTCATATCCGCTTCTATTTCCCGACGTAATGTGTTCTTTGACCTTCCACTTTTCCTCTTCCATTCAGGATTCCAAGTTAGCGCTTGTCTCGTAATGCAGTTTGATGATTTCCTCAATGTATGTCCTATCCATTTCCATCGTCTTTTCCTAATTTCCTCTTCCGCTGGAAGCTGGTTGGTTGTCTTCCACAATAGGCTGTTGCTGATGGTATCCGGCCAATGGATGTTGAGTATGTTGCGTAGACAGCTATTTATAAATACTTGTACCTTCTTGATGGTGGTTGTAGTAGTTCTCCAAGTTTCAGCTCCGTACAGTAGAACTGCCTTGACGTTGGTATTGAAGATGCTGACTTTGATATTGGTTGAAAGTTGTTTTGAGTTCCATATGTTCTTCAGTTGAAGGAATGCCGCTCTAGCTTTGCCAATCCTTACCTTTACGTCTGCATCTGAACCTCCTTGTTTGTCGATAACGGATGAATGATTGATGTGGAAACAAAGAAACAATAACGTCTGTATGGTCTTCAGACTTTACTAAGAGATATTGTAATGTTATGTTAAAATACATTCGATTGTCCTCCAGTACATTAGCTAGATTATATAAGTAACTTCACATAGTTGACTGGTAACCCAAACATTAGCTAACGTTATATATATTCAATAGTTTAGTTGATTAAACCACCGGTAATACCAGTAAAAGAAATCATACATTATGTATTGCTGAATCGAATAATGAAATACTGTGGAGAAGATTGTACTGAACAATACTAATCAACATCTTATACGATCCCTCATTTCATATATATGATTATGTCTGATTGAGTAGCAGGAATATCAGGAGAATATACCCGATCAGTGGTTGAGAATGTTTTGATTGGTTAACAATAATTAAGTACTTACAATGAAAATCTGATAAACGAATCATCTGATTGGTTTATTAAGTGAATAGGTTATCAAATGGGAGAATTTAAATTATACAAGGTAAATAGTCCAAAATATTGATGTTTACTTAAACTATTTTCCACAGTTGAATTCATAAGTCGATCTAAGCTACTACAATCTCTATAAATACCCATTCTGATTATATTCATAGGCTCATTAGTGATTAGCTTCAAGATAGATTTCTTGGAGTTCTAATGAGAAGCTGTGACCGATGGAGTGCAATCGGTGTCGAATGTGAGACAGTTATCTACCTCAGGCGATGGATCAAGGTTTGCGCAGGATCATGGCACCGTTGGGTGCCAGTTCAGTGGTTTAGAAGTTAAACATTCACGTGCGATACTGAAGGTCTTGGGTTTGAGTTCCACGTGTGGGATCGTGGATGTGCACTACTAAAGAGTTCCATACTAGGATGAAACGGCCGTCTGGTGCATTCAAGTTTTTGATGGTGACCTAGCTTAGATTGTTTCGTGAATTCAACTTTGAAAATACTAGAATCTTCACAATCCCCATATTGATAATTAAGTTATTAATATCAAATGGGTTTTGTGGATATTATAGTAATTTCAATGGTTAAGATCATGAGTCAGTTGGAGCCAGACCACCATGGAAAGCCTGGAAGCACTGGACGACCTCGCAGGGGGCGAGGTCGTGTATGCGCACTGATGAGGAGTTCCACAATGGGATGAAACGGCCGTCCAGTGCTTCCAGCTTTTTCATGGTGGTCTAGCTTCAACTGACCATTGAAATTAAGCTATTCATCAATGGACGAAATGAAAGATACAGATGTCCCATAGTCCACAATTTCAACCAGAGTTATGATTGTACAGATTTAAGTTTCAATCATCCACAAGAATCCATTATTTATACTTTAAACCTGATTATTTTGTTTGGAAAGATAACTGAAAAGTTTACTGAGTGATCACCAAGTAGTAAAAATATATCATGTTTATCTAATCCATGGTGATGATCCGATTCTGAAGAAAAACTCTCAATGCTAGATTATCTGCGAATTCAAGCACTCAGAAAACGTTATATTGTTTACTATCAAATGACCAGTCTATTACAATAGTTCAATCCTATAAAAGGTTTTGTCCCAACTAGTTCAGTGGTAGTATCTCTTAATATGACAGTAGGTCACCCTAGACCCAATCCCATAGGGAGTATCATTTCCCACAAAATTGTAGGCACGCTTTAGTGATGAATCGTAAAAAACATGAAACCTAAGTCACGAGCTTCCTATCAATAGTCGCCAACTACTTAACAATCGAATACAATGGATATTAGATTACATGAATTTGTAATCACATTGTAATTGGATTGACAGTATTCAATCCACAGAATTACAAATTACACTACTAAATGATCTGTCAGTGTATTTATTGATCCAATGAATATTGATGCCCCAAATGCCTTGGTATGGCCAAGGGTGGGAGGAGTCAGCTCTCTATTTCCAAATGATCTAACATGGCCACGTGTATACAACCACTGACAGGGAAGTCCTACTACCTGCCTTCTTGTGGTACTATTGTTGCTTACGAAACTGAAAGGGTGAAAAACGAATGTTGGGCGCTTTAACTGGGTTAGTGGATGTGTCGGATTCACCAAGTGCAGTTGAAAAACCCTCATTCCAAACAAATGGTGCACATGGGCTCTTGGATCCTGAAGGAACAAACGGAGTATGAATCTAATGTTAATCACCGGCTACCATGTGACTGTATCTTCTGGTTTTGCTCCACTGCCTTGTGGATCAGACCTTTAAGTCGAAGACTCCGGGTTTTGCCCCCCCCCTCTAGGAAACTCACCTGTTTCGGTTTGGACACCCGGGTAGTATCCCAACCTTGACACAAATCGAATGATTTATGTGGCGCCTATATATTCGGTGCCTCTATGTACCAATATCTATGTGTTTAAATAAATAAATCACTAATAAAGTTGAATACTGATATTAGTGTAAAATATACAAAAGATACATCTAAGTATACATTAATAGGACTAACCTGTTGAGATATGATATATGGAAGTATTCTTTCATGTAAAGATTGTTTAGTATTATTAAATATTTTTGAATGTCTATATAATGGATCACAACCATACATGAATATATTATTCCGTCGACTATGTCCATGCATATCACAATAAATAACATCCTAGTATTAAATAGAAAGAAAAATATATGATAACTTTTTATTTGATTATTATTAGAAGGGGGGGGGTGAATTGTGGATGACAACTCAGTGGTCTAGAGGTTAAGCGTCCGTGCGTGAGACCGAGGTTCGAATCTTGAGGGGGGCGGGATCGTGGATGAGCACTGTTGAGGATTCCTATACTACGACGAAATGGCTGTCCAGTGCTTCCATGTTTTCCATGGTGGTCTAGCTTTAATTGATAATCTTAAAAGTTAGAACTTGGAGCTAATCAATAATGAGATTATGATTGTTCTCGGTATGGGGATTTGAGACGATTGTAGTATGTTCATAGTTGAAATCATAAATTAATCGAAACTAGACCGGACAATGTTTCCAAGTTTTTAATTGTTGTCTAGTTTAGATCGATTAATGATTTCAACTGTAAAAATACTACAATCTTCACATATCTCCACACGTATAATTATAGAAGTGATGATTAAATAATATTTGGTAATACTCTAACTAGTTTTAATGAATCATATTAGTTGATGAGTTCGTTATTAAACATGAATACCATTGGGATATTCAACAGCGAATATATCTGTTGTTCATAAATACTCTCTGTTTAATTAGCTAAACAGGAGAGACTACAATTTATGGACGATATTTGAACAACGCTAAAATGACCTTAAGAAAGTTTATCTAATCACTAGTACCAAATAAGGGTTATAAATCAGTGTGATGAATTAGAATTACGATTATGAATTAGATTTAATGTTTTCATCACGAACTGACATCAGTTGAAATGTCAAGACTCTATTTAGTCAATTGGATGAATGAATTTTGCTCAAAAATTCAAGACCTGTTATTTTATACTTGATTGGTTTATCCCTAAATTATAGTTTCACTTATGATGGCTTAGGATCTGGACTATTATGCCTATATATTCCATTTATCATAATCTTTGATTTAGTCTATTAACTATTGTTATTCAACATACTATTCCTAATTTGTTACCAGTCTGTTACTTATAGTTTGCCTTATTCATAAATACTTTTGGCTTATTTATGTATAATTGTGATTTTTGATTGTATGGTGTGATGTAGTTCAGTATGTTTGTATAATTCAAGACAGGTGAATAGAGAGGCATAGGGTTGTGTTGCCTTAAAGTTAATTGTACAGATCAGATGTATAATTCTCCTCATGATTTCAACCAGTGAAATTTCAAATATCTCCACACAACCCCTTCTGATAATAATAATCATCTGCTCACTAGTGACTGACTTCAAGAGATACTCCTGGAGTTCTAGTGAGAAGCCGTTACCAGTGGAGTTCAACCAGGTCTATTGTGAGATATCAGCTCATTGAGAATAATGGTGTACGGTGGCGCAACTTCGTGGATTGGTTGAAGTTAGATATTAACACCATTAGATGCCGGCTCAGTGGTCTAGTGTATTAAGCTCCTGGCGCGAGACTGGCAAGTCCTACGTTCGGGTCCCGCGGGGGGCGCGGTCGTGGATCCGCACTGCCGAGGAGTCCTTTACTATTAGGAATGGCTGTCCAGTGCATCCAGGTTTTCCATGGTGGTCTAGCTTCAATTGACTCATGATTTCAACCAGTGAAAAGTATAATCAATTATAATCTATAAAATAGTTCTCAGAATGTCAATTTTTCCAATAATTCAATCAGTCAGCAAGAACTTAGAACTTTGTACGTACGTACATCAGTTCAAGTTGCCATAACACATTAGCACACAGATATAATTGTTGATTTAAATCCCATAGTGGTAGAGGTAATAAAAGTACAAGCAGTAATCGCAAAGATTAGATTTTGAAGATGTTATTCAAGGAGTATAATCCAGTGAAATAAATTTGGAAAGAGAAGAAAACGGGACATGAAAAATTCAGAAGATTAGAATTTGGGAGAACACAAAGAGTGGATGCACCTGCGTCATTGCAAACAATTTTGAGCCATGTCACATTAAAGGTCTTCAACCATCGGTTACTATCGTCTCGCGGATCCCAATCAGGTAGTCTACACTTACCAACATGACTCACTTCACTTGTCAGTGACTTCATGGATTTGTGTCATGTTTTTGATTTGGCCTCCCCTAACTTTCTTCCAACTTACTCTAACACCATAAAACATCGCTCGTCTGGGCAGTCGGTGGTTGGGCATACGTAATACATGTCCCAGTCATCTCAACTGATAAAGTTCTTTAATAATTTCTTTGTTAAAACACCAATTCAATGACTTTTATACACCTGCTTATTGATTGCTTTTTTTCTTTATAACTTACTTTATATGTTTTTTTACACCATTTCACAAGTTGTTTCACTGTCCATACAGTTGGAAATACATCTTTTTTTGGTTGACGATAATTACGATTTAAGTCTCTTCCTGTTAATGAACATCTTTGGAAAAAAAAATAGAAGAAGAAGGAGTAGAAGGAGTCAATTCGAGTAAGATACAGTGTAAATAAATACTGTTAAATGATTTTATGAGGATTGTAAATGAAGTTTATACATTGATTTGAACCATTCCAACTCTCATGCGTTTCAAATCGATTGTTTATAATGTAAAAAGAAGCCCGATAAATGCATCTACTTATCAGTTACATTGATCAAAACACTAACACCATTGGATGCCGGCGCAGTGATCGAGTAGGTTAAGCGTTCGCGCGCGAGACCGAAAGCCCTGGGTTCGAATCCAGCAAGCGGGATCGTGGATGCGCACTGCTGAGGAGTCCCATACTAGGACGAAACGGCCGTCCAGTGCTTCCAGGTTTCCAACGGTGGTCTAACGTCGATCGATTTATGATCTCAATCAAAAAATCGAAACTCTTTTTGGTTTATTCAAAATGTTAGATAATGAGAGAAGTATTCTACAATCCTAACTTTGAGTCACACTATAGATACCCTTGAAACACTAATGTCCTTTATTGGCTAGTGAACGTGTAGATAGCTTTAATCAAGAAGCTATCACTAAAATGATTAGGAAACTTAAACATATGTTCACATAATGTTTTTTACTTGTACATTAGCGTTGTGGTGATCCAGAAAATTCCTCGCAAAAGACACTCAAGGATCAAGAAACATTAAGAAGCATTTCATTCAATCAGCGTTTACTTGAAGTTTTAGCCAGAAACATCAAGGATGTAAAACGTCAAATGTAGAGGTTCTGATTGGCTGATTGTTATACTGCTACCATATTTAGTAGCATTCCAGAATCTTCGAGCAACCCAAGGACATTTAAAATATTATAAAAACTCTATCTTTTCTGTATTAAAATGAGCCTTGGAGTAAATTACTTTCGTATACTTTTCGCCTTCTCTCTCGTGTTCAGGTCGCTGTGTAGTTCTAGCTTGGGGTTTTCAAGAATAGCTTAGGAACCGAATATACCGTTCAAATTGCAAGACTTATCAATTAGCATTGTTATTTAGGACTGCAATTAATCAGTCACTTGTTGACATATGTACATCCTATGTGTATTGCCTCGATATTGACTGAATCCACAAGCTTTATAAGCAAAGATAGATAGTGACTAGCAGTGGAATCCAGGACGTGCATTTCGTCCTGTTAGATTTTTCGTCCTGAATATATATGCATCTCAAAGTTGACGTTCACTATGAGACTCGAACCTAGTACTGTTCACTTCAAACACTATCATGTTATCCACTTAGCTACTTAGTCTTGAGATGCAGATAGATCCAGTTGATGAGTTCCAAATAGAACGAAAAGCGCATCTTGGATTCCTCTGCTAGCCACTATCCATCTTTGCTTAAACATATGTGTTTGTTCTATATAATTTATGAGTTCTTCAAAGTTTATAACATTTTTCTTTATCTTGACGTAATTTATCTTTTTTTAAGTCACAAAGAGAGATACTGATGAACTCGTCGACTGAACTGGGTAGTATTATATTTTGTGTAGCTAACATCATGACGAGATCTGAACTTCTAGCGTCTAGTACCGTATCAGGCCTATATTCATTAGTCTAGTTTTTGAACAGACCAGTTAATTTATTCTTCTGGAGTCATCATCCACATATGTTTTGACCTTATCAACTATCGGCTTATAACCTCGTCTGTTTTCGTTTGAGAATGTGAGTGTATTGCTCATTTTATCTATCACATGTCATTAGTTTGTTTTTGTTTGGCTACAAATAGTGAGTCAAGCTAATGTCTAATTGAGCTGGTGTATTTGCCTTATCCTCTTCGATTTATCGCTTCTGATTTTAACGTCTGTCTGAGTAAATGAATGACTGATATGAAATCATCCTAATCAATCTGTGTTTGGCTTTATTTATTTGAACACATAAATATTGGTATAAAGGGCACTGAATAAATATGTGCCACACAAGTCAATTGATTTGTGTGTGGGCTACGATATTATCCGGTTACCCAGACCGAAGAAGGTGGATTTCCTAGGGGGGAGCACACCCAGAGCCTTCAACCTAAAGGTCTGATCTACAAGACAGTGGAGCAACGTGAGGAGATTCAGTCACATGGTAGCTGGTAACCAACGATTGGTTCATACTCTAAGTGTTCCTTTAGGATCCTGGATCCCATGTGCACTATTGGTTTGGAATGAGAGTTTTCCAACTGCCCTAGATGGATCCTTCATATCCACCAACCCAGTTAAAGAACCGGATATTCGCTTTTCGTCCTCTCAATTTCGTAAAGAATAACGCCGCCGCAAGAATGTAGTGAGTATGACTTCTCTGGAAGTAGTTGTATGCATGTGGCTATTTAAGAACATTTCGAGAGGGAGGCCTAACTCGCCCCGCTCTCGACCATACCAGGGTATTTGGGGACGATTATCATCAAGTATCAGTATAATCTATATATGAATGATTACATTCAGCTAATGGATTGCTGTTGTTTTCTTGGAGGGTGAATAAATAAAATCTTTATCTATCATCAGGATCTTGTCTTCCTTTCTATGGCAGTAACTTAAGATATGACAGTAGTAAAGTATGTTTCTTGGGCAAACAGTATAAGCTGTACTTACATATCATGTTGTACATTGCAACTGATTGACTGGGTAATCAGCATTTAATTCAAACTACTACACTGATATACCAGTCTTATTTCAAGTCATTGCAATAACATATTGAGAAAATATATCTGAACTAGTTTATAATTCACATTTGCGGAAACAGAGGTTTTTACAAGTGTCAAAAATGTTTACATTTTCGTTTACTACCCTACATACGTGTTATATGTAGTATAAGATATATTGCTATGTAGAACTGAAGGTCTCATGAGAATGGAGGTTCACCATTCAAATTGTAAATGGTTCGGTATTAATTTGGCAAGTTTTGCTGACTGTTCGTGCGCGAAATTGGTTTGCTGGTTAACCAATCTCACTTATACTGGTGGTTGCTTTTCAGTGTTCTCAAGGGCTATTGTCATTGAGACATTGTAAGGCATGTCACCACCGCTAACATGAATGAGTTTGACTGTTGTGTAAGCGTAATAGGTCAACTTTGGTCTGTTCGTGCTGTGCACAATTGATTCACGCAATCATTGATCTGAATAATTATACGTGTGACGTTAATGTGTATATAGATGGTGCGAATGGTCCACCATGGTGCATGGTACCTGTGTGGTTGCGCCACTAGATTGAGCTATATTATTCAAGTTGTAACGTTAAAGCCTATATGATTTCTAGTTCTCCTGTGAAGCGGGATTGGGCTGTATTGCTCGAGTTATAAAGTTTAAGCCTGGATGGTGTCTAGTTCACCTGGAATTGCGATTGAACCGTACTATTTGGGCTACACATTTTAAGCCTGGGTCATGTTTGGCTCTCCTGTTAAACGGGTTGAGCTGTACTGCTCGGGTTGTCACGTGAAAGTTTGGATGGTGTCTGGTTCTCCTGAAAACAATGTAAAACTACCCTGGCTCACAAGGGTATATTTTGTAACTTTGATTACATAACTGACACTATTAAATGATCCTTACAAGGCATTACGAAATCGAATAATTCGTCTAACCATTCATTATAGTGATTCCTCACTAATAACAATAATTAACTTCCAGTATTTGAATTCATGAGTCATTTGAAGCTAGACCACTATGAAAAACCTGAAAGCACTGGACAGCCGTCTCGTCCTAGTATGGGACTCCTCAGCAGTGCTCACCCACGACCCCGTCCCACGTGGGACTCGAACCCAGGACCCATCAGTCTCGCGCGCGAGCGCCTAACTATTAAACCACTGAGCTGGCCGATATCTAATGGTGTTAATGTCTAACTCCAACGAATTCACGAAATTGCGCCACCGCGGGGCGGTTTTGTGAATGCGCACTGCTGAGGAGTCCCATACTACGACGAAACGGCCGTTCAGTGCTTCCAGATTTTCCGTGGTGGTCTAGCTTCAATGGACTCATAATTTCAACTATTGAAATTACTCAGATTTCCACAAAACTCCTTTTGATAATTAACTTCAAACCGATAGGTTACAATTTCAAATCGTTCTCCTCTATCCTATTCTTAACTCCTAACCCAATCAACAATGTAACAGTGAGAAAACTAAAAATCTATATAGAGTATTATATAAATTGCATAAACAAAATGGTTACAATGGTGAGACTATAATTTATGAACAAACCTTTGAACGACGCTAACAAGACATTGAGAATGTCCACCTAAATACTACACTCAAATGTGGATTAAAAACCATCCGTTGATCGTTAGTATTAAAAATCAGATACAAGATCTTCATCACCAATTTGATAAGTGAATTTCGCGCTAAATTTTCAAGATCTATCATCATAAATCTGATTGGTTCATTTATAAATTATAATCTCACCGTTACATTTATCTATCCTTATAACTTACCTATAATTTCCAACAATTACTCCATCAGGATTCAACATTGGAATAATATAGAAACTGTATTGTTTTTTTAATGCTAATACAATTGATTGATTACTTGTTAAAAATTTCAATAATCCATAAGTTATCCAACTAGAGTTTGTTTCACCAGGATGTACACGAGCAGTGATTACAACTGCATATTTATCTTTATTTGGTATATCTGTTTATTTATTTGTTTGTTTGTTTGTTTGTTTGTTCGTCAAAATAAATAAACAAAAAGATTTTTGTAATTTTTATTTATTTAAACAATATTTACTGACTAAGATTAGACATTAACACCGTCGGGTGTCGGCTCAGTGGTCTAATCGTTAGGCACTCGCGCGCGAGATTGATGGGCCCCGGGTTCGAATCCCGCGGGGGGGGGGCGGGATAGTGGATGCGTACTGCTGAGGAATCCCATACAAGGACGAATCAGCCGTCCAGTGATTTAAGTTTCCCCATGGTGGTCTAGCTTCAATCCACTTATGATCTCAATTGTTAAAATAGTATTGGTTGTTTGAATCTTCCCATTGATGTTTACGACTATAATTGATCAATTGGTTATTGGCATATGTACATCCTGTGAGGATTACTTCGATATTGACATAAGTCATAAGCATAATAAGTAGAGATGAATGGTAGTTAGCAGTGGAGTTCAAGATACGCGGTTCATTCTATTCAGAAGTCATCTTTAGTTGGATGTATCTGTATCTAAGAGTTTGAAGCGAACAGTACCGGGTTCGAGTCTTGAGGTAATCATCAGCTCTGGGATGTAGGCACATCCAGCTGATGAATCTTAAATAGGACGAAACGTCATTACTGGATTCTACTGATAGTCATCATCTATCTGTGCTTATAATGTATTACCTATCGAAAATTTATGGAGAGATCTTAGAGAGTGTGCGATTTCGTAATTTACATCAACGATTGACTCTAGCTAGATAATCACTGAAAACTAGGGATCTATGAATGGCTGTTCTGTTTGATACCATCCCAATGATTTGAAGATTTAGGGCCCACGCTAATGACTGAATGTTCTGTTGATGGAGCAGTAGTGCCTACATAAGGCTGAGGAGTTCTATACTACGAAGACACTACTGACCAATGTTTTCTGGTTTCCAGTGGCATTCTAGTCACAAACAACATGTGAAGCAGACGACAAAGGTTGATTATTGGTTTCGTCGAGATTATTTAAAGCTGAATTTTCTACAGTAATTACTGCCAACTGAAGGATCAAAAAAACCAAGGAGTACTGAACAAATTGTTATTTGTTTCAGTATGAAACACATATGCGGTACATACTAAGACTTTGAATCCAACACTTTCAACTTCCATGGTGAAAATGTTTTCTCAGAACATTGGTTTACCGAGGAGTCCCACAATAAGACGAAACGGCCGTCAAGTGCTTCCAGGTTTTCGGTATTGGTTTAACATTCATCGATTCATAGTCTCAATGAAAACCTCAAATGTTTCCATGTTATATCTCGACGAGAATAATGAATGTTAACTATTAGGATCTATTTATATGCTAATACTATATATGTGTAATTGTTAAGTATTCAAACTATGCATATTCATAATTGATTGATCACTGGGTGGTGATCAATGTCATATCGTTCTTAGTGCAGATCGAATACTATAGACCAAGTTGCAATATGGCCACTAGTCTAGGTGACTCGACATTGCGTACACTATATTGAGATAAGATGGTATTTGGAGATAATCAACAGGAAACGCCGATCCAGGGTTGCCTGTTGACTACCTCCAACAATCATCTTATCTATGCACATTCATGTTCCTTTTATTATAAGCTTCATTTTGACCTATAAACTGTTATTATACGATTTATCGTTCTTGAGTTATGCATAGTCTATTCATTACAGTCTCCTACATTCACAGCCACCTTTGGTTAGATCTTGTACAAATGTTGTTTTTTATTTTATTTTATCGTACGATGTGGTCTCTTTGACTGGTGTACGTTCGAAATACATGATTCATATCGTGGAGGCTGAGATTGGTGTACTGAACTCAACAGACAGGGTTAGGCAGCAAGAAATACCGATAAAGACTCTAAACTGCTCGTACAGGTTTTATCCATCACTGTTCTCTAATTGGCCTTATCATTACGTCATATATTGTTGGTAAGGGCAACGTGGCTACAAGTTATAACACTCTACAATAGACTTACTTTGATCAGTAATTGTAACTAGGAAACATGAATTGCCAGCTCTAGTTTGACATAATACTTCACAATTAATTGTTTTATTCAATGTTTCATTTTCATTTGATTGAATAAGTAATTCATTCAAATCAAGCTTTAAATTTGTATATGTATATGGATATGAATAAGCCAAATAACAAATATCATTGGCATAAGGAAATTCCTAAATGATCAATAGAATGAAACATTTATGGATTACAGATAACACTGATGATTACATAACACATTGAAGTTATCCTTAATCTAAGCAATGATCAAAATATGTATTGAAGTAAGTAATGTCAGTCATTCTGTAGTGAATGATGAGAACACAATTGAGGACAATCAAATGTAGTTGAATACAAAATTACAGAACATCTTAGTATAATCTAAGAACTATACAGTAAACAAAGATGGATAGTGGTTAGCAATGGAATCAAGGACGCGAGTTTCATCCTATTGTGGGACTACTCAGTAGAATCACTTAATAAAATCTGAGACTTACTTACTTACTTTCGCCTGTTACTCCTCATGAAGGAGCATAGGCCGCTTATCAGCATTTTCCATACAACCCTGTCCCAAGCAATCCTTTCCAGTTCTTATTCATCCTTTTCATATCCGCTTCTATTTCCCGACGTAATGTGTTCTTTGGCCTACAACTTTTCCTCTTCCATTCAGGATTCCAAGTTAGCGCTTGTATCGTAATGCAGTTTGATGATTTCCTCAATGTATGTCCTATCCATTTCCATCGTCTTTTCCTAATTTCCTCTTCAGCTGGAAGCTGGTTTGTTCTCTCCCACAATAGGCTGTTGCTGATGGTATCCGGCCAACGGATGTTGAGTATGTTGCGTAGACAGTTATTTATAAATACTTGTACCTTCTTGATGGTGGTTGTAGTAGTTCTCCAAGTTTCAGCTCCGTACAGTAGAACGTTCGTGTTGAAGATCTGAGAAGCATATAATAAATACTTCATTTGCAAAATGTTAATCCATTGTCTCAGATTTTATTATTCCTTCATTTCTACATCAATCATTCCCTGTTCTTGTTGTCTTTCCTTCGATCTTCTTAACTGTCTGCCGCCAGATATTTCCCAATGGCCTAGGTGTATACACTCTTTGTCTTCCCTTAAACTATGAGATTAGAATTATTTTACATTTTTCTACGAATTAATTCTTTCTTTCTGTACTATATCCTTACTTAAAATCTTTCCTTTATATATTACACCATTGAGTTAACTGATTCTATGAGTTCGGCGTTCGTCTTGTTGTGCTAATGAGGTGTGGCAACTTGGACCGATGCATGTATGTGCCTGGTCCTACGTTGTAACTGACTGATTGATAGGTGATACATATTACTTATATCTGTCGACATCAGTAACACACACAACACAATTTTAACGTTCATGTATTAGATGATTACAGTACATTACAGTGCGTTCTTGATCAATGACTTTGTTTGAAGTTCTAAAGTTCATCTTATTTGTGTTTCCTTATCTAACCTGTTATTGTTATGCTATACTAACAGGTACATATTAAACAGTAATAGATAATTTCAGACACCTATATATTAAATTCATTAAAGAAAATCACATTCCAACATACTGCAATCACCCAAACACATTAGATGAGATGCAGTTACATCCGACTGTGATGTAATAGATCATTCAGAAATTGGTCATATGATAAATGCATGAGATGATTGGTCAAGAAATAGCTTGCATTTCTAAGGGATGAGACATATCATTGATAGATTAATTATATAAAGGTTATATATGAGTATCCATACATGCCAATCCAGTTTAGTCAATAAACTCCTTGCTCACTTTCAATATTTTCACTTGAGTAGCTGTTTGAGTTTGTGTATTACAAGATTGAATATCAGTATCGAATTCGGACACTGTAAGTTACAAAAAATCTGATGAGCCTCAAATAGAACGAAGTATGCACCATGGGTTCTATTACTAGTCATAAATCAAGTATTCTATACTTTGAAGTAGCCAAAGCGAATCAACAGGAAATCTTCAGAAAACGGGATTCAATGTTGTAAATAACTTTTCAAGCGATTCAATCAGTGATATCAGCTTAAGTCAATCCAACATAGGCTAAATGAGAATTAAGAAATGTCGATGGGTGCATGGTATCTGTCAAGATTTGGCTTCACTTTCTGAGGAGAGATATGTTTATATTTGAAAACATGGCTCAATTTTTTGAGGAAGATAAATGTATATTTATGAATAATACATATATTTGCGATTCATTCATCCAATAACAGCTTTCTATTCACTCTTGGTTTTCTCACACGATTAGCTTGGTTGGGTTCGCGGATAGGCAGTGTATAGATTAGTATCATACAAGAATAACTTTACAATTGATTGATCACTAGGTGGTGTCAATGTCATGTATGTTAGTTACTTCTTAGTGCAGATCGAATGCTATCGACCAAGTAGCAATGTGGCCACTAGTCTAGGTGAGTCGACATTGCGTACACTATGTTGAGATAAGATAGTGGTTGGAGGTAATCAGCAGAAAACCCTAGATCTAGGTTCCTTGTTACGCGGTACTGGTCAGCAAGGTGTACCTGTCCTACAGGAGGTCAGTCATGACCCGGAAAGCTCAGTGTTAACGTCTGTGAATGTGAAGCTGGGTGACACGGGATTGAATCAGCCAGGCAGCATCGGTCCCCTCAAGATTACAGGTACACCTTGATGATACGTGCCAAGTAGCATGAAACTTAGATTCAGGGTTTCCTGTTGACTACCTCCAACCACCATCTTAAACTAGGATAATCGCATAACATAATACCTTTGAAGTAACGATTATAAAAATAAGTCTTTCCAAAATATTCTGTTGTCTTCAGAATAGGTTTAATTTATTAATACCTAACGTATAAATTTATTTTGCCCAAAAATTCTTCATTCAATTTTACCTCTATTTTTACTACATTTGACTACATTTTTAAGCTGCTTAACCCTCCTTAAATCTACTAGCACAAAGTACTTTGAATTCATCTGATAGACGTGTTTATATAGGAATCCCTACTTGCTCCAAAACTATCTCCTCTAATTTCATCTAGTTAAACCTATTACGTAAGATTTGTTTATTTTCAAGTAGGATGGCTATAAAGACAGTGCCTTCAAATTCCCTGGTACGGCCGAGGGCAGGGAAGTCCTACTCACTACCTGCATTATTGTTGTTTACGAAATTGAGAGAATGAAAAGCGAATATCTGGCGCTTTAATCAGATTAGTGGATGAGGAGGATCCACTCATGGGAGTTGGAAAACTCTTATTCCAAATCAATAGTGAAAATGGGCTCCAGTATCCTGAAGGAACGAAAAACGTATGAGCCTTTTGTTGGTCACCAACTACTATGGGACTGCATCTCTTGACGTTTCTCCACTACCTTGTGGATTAGACCTTTAGGTTGAAGTCTCTTGGTGTACCCCCCCCAAGAGAACCACATGCTTCGGTCTGAGCACCCGGAGAAGTATCCTAGCCCCCACATAAATTAAATGATTTCTAAAAACGGTTAACAAGGTCTTATTTTTGTAGTATTAAATATGTAAGAAATCAAATCTAAAAAATATCTTATTATCGGATGATGGTTTAAATAATACTTTCTGGTTAGCGTGTTTTTAGCGGGTTAGTTTTCTACGAGATGGGATCGCTAACCCCATGTCCAACCCCCCTCCTTTATCCGGGCTTGGAACCAACAGTAGCCCCAGAAGGGCTCCTGGCGGAGCTATTATCTGATAGAGGTTTATCAATTTATTGATTCTGTTTTAATGTATCATCAATTAAACACATTACCAAATTTAAACTAACCATTTCCCATTCCAATTGATAATATTCACTATTTGTATCAAGTAAATGATTGGATAAATTCATTGTATTACGTGTATATCTAAGAGAATATAAAAGGAGCGACAGAATAGTGTATTGACAATTAATATCATGAATTGACTTCGGTTAGATAACTAATCGTAAACTAGAGACTAGTGGATAGTAGTTTCATTTGTAGTATCGAACTATTGAACAATGGGCATTATTGAATACAATAGAGATTAAACTTATTACCTTCAAGATTTGTTATGTTGGGACGGCTTCTGAGAGCTACGACAGAGCCTCTAGAGGCCCTAAAGAAGTTAAAGAGTTTCCACCTAATTAGAATGTAATAGAGCTTTCTAAAATAATAATGTGTTATGCTACTATTGGACAGTAGCATAACATGCCTCTTTGCGGATTGGCTAAATTATAATGTTGATATCACAAACGTTAATATCTGTAAATACTCATGATTTTCTGTGCATTTTGATTCCTACCCAACAAACACTTCTCCGGTCTTCTTCTGTCTTTTGATTTACGACTGTGGAGGTTATATACTTTCTAGTGCCATAGTTGTATACTGTATTCTGCGTTAACAAAGTAGCGAATTTAACATGTTATTGTTAGTTTATGTGTTGAACATTCATTTACATGTAGAGAATAATTCTGAGTGTAAACATTCTCCATTGAACTCTGTTCTGGGTAATCATTTCCAGTTTTTTCCAGTCACTATTCATCCTTGTCATGTCTGCCTTCAATCTTCAATGTAATGTGTTCTTCGATTTTTCTGTTTTCTCAGTTACCTTTACGATTCTAAGTTAAGGCTTGCCTCGTAATTCAGTTTGGTAATTTTCGTAGTGTATGTCGTTTCCGATTTTAAAGTCTTTTCCTAATTTCCTCTTCCACTTGAAACTGGTTTGTTTTCTCCCACAATAGGCTGTTGCTGATAGTATCTGGTCAATGGAAATTCAGTATTTTATATATACAATTGTATATAAATACTTGTACCTTTTCGATGATGATTGTAGTAGTTCTTTAAGTTTGAGCTCCGTACAATAGAATTGTCTTAATGTTCTTGTTAAAGGTTTTCAATTGGATATTACTTGACAGACCGTTGTTTTGAGTTCCATACATTGTTCAGTTGTAGAAATGTAACCCTTCTCAACATTTTGCTTACACATTTATTACGTTATACACTTTTACTTAATTGACTACATGTGTTTATCATTGCTTGTGTTGATGTTACCTTATAATTCTTTATGTAATGAATAAAGTGTACATGTGTGTGTATGTGTGTGTGGAAGGGGGGGGGTCCAGTTACATAGGTGATTTTCAAATATTGTAGTTGATATTTAATATTATGGCACAGAAGTGAATAATCATTGGTCGACTTATGACCTTAATTTCAGTTCCTCATTATTTATTCTCTAATCAGTAATCTTATAATCAAAGTATTTCGGTTGAACATTTGAATTTGTTTGAATGGCTGGTGCTTGAACGCTTGTTACTGACTTTCTAACCATTCCCTAGTACCCCAGAATCTCATACATTTGGATCACGAATGAAAGACAAAAGATGAGAAGTATGTAGCTTAGATGAAGAGAGGTGGTTGTTTGAATCATCCAATGGATGTATACGACTGCAACTGATCAATCTCTTATTGGCATATGTACATCCTGTGCAGATTACCCCTATATTGCTTTAAATAACGAGCCTCGTCTCTGCTTACAAGGATATTTACAGGTCTACGAATGACCTTGATACTCTAAAAGATTTTGGAAACTTGTCACATTTGGTAACGAAATGTAGAAAGCTTCCATTGGAAGCTAATTGGATGAAGTGCTTTCTGTCTTGTTTAGCTTTTGTAGACTTTCTCAAAGAATTCCCTAATACTCCCAACATAACAGGTCTAATTAATTATGAGCATATTCAAACAAACAGTCAATGGTTCTGACTTCTGCAAACAAATTAGTTAAGGTTTAAAATTGATCAGTAAACAAACTATTATCTCAGTTACCTCATCTGTTTCAGAAAATTCTACCTGTATCTCTTCTAGAGTTATTACCGATCCCAAGCCCGAGTAAAGGAGGAGGGTTGAACATGGGGTCGGTAATCCGATTCCGTAAAAAGAAATCTTTCTAAGACAACGCCAACCAGATCTGTTTCAGAGATCTAATCGATTTGTTGAAATATCGAATCAGACTAGAAATATTTACCAATTTATGCCGATCTTACCATGGGATACTTCTAATTTAATGGCCACAGATCTGACTTCAGTAATATCGTATGATTGATTGTTATTGAAGCAGACATATTGTAGATCCTCGTATATAATTATCTACTTGATTCGTGTTAGTGAATAATCGAATTAAATAAGTCAAATACGAGAATGGATTTTAAATAAGTATATTTCAGACAATCGTTGATCTAGACGGACAATCAGAGAAACGCAACAAAGAAGAGAATAAGCCGAGGCGAAACGAATCGGAGAAGGCATGTTAGCTAACTCACTTTAATCAAGTGTTACTCAATACTTATAGTCAAATCGAATCGAAGTGAAGTAAAGCAAAGCAAGGAGAGACGAAGAGAATAATTAACGAGATCAAGATGTGATGGAAGAAGAATGAATAAATTGGTCTATCCGAAAGTTAGAATAAGTTATGTTGGCTTGACATAGTGCCAGCCGCTATACTAACTATGAAAGAATGAATGGTTTCCAATGTATAGTTGGATCGCTTCTATATTAACAATCAGAAGTACTTACGATGATTTACAATCAATGTCAAAACTGGTTTGTAGCAAAGTGAGATCTTGTAGATTTTTAACATCTCAACTACGGGGAGGTCCATATCAATTGAATCACATTTGTTTTGTGGTGAACAAGAACACAGATGGGGAGAACCAAATGTATTTGAATACAATTCTACAGAATCTCCTAGTAAACTCTCAGAACCATATAATGAATTCTTCATTTGCAAAATGTCAATCCATCGTCTCAGACTTTATTGTCCCTTTATTTCCACAGCAATCATCCTCTGTTCTTGTTCTGTTTCCTTCTATCTTTTTAACCTTATGCTGCCAGGCATCCTACTTTCGATTAATGATACATACTACTTATATCTGTCGATATCAGTAGTACACAGCTACCTTTTTAGTGATTGGATTATTTTATACGACAAACAGAACTTCAAATTACATACATCACCAGGAATAATATATGTTCGTTGTTTAAGCCAATACTATGAAATAATAACTTTTCAGAAATATCTTTCAGAATTAATTCCCTTCAAAAAAAAACAAAAGTGGATAGGACACACATTGAGGAAATCACCCAACTGTGTCATAAGGTAAGCCCTCATCACTTGGAATCCTCAATGTCAAAGGAAAAGAGAAAGACCAAAGAACACGTTACACTGAGAAATGAAGACAGACATAAGAAGAATGAACAACAAATGGATAGAACTAGAATGGAATATCCGGGACAGAGTGAGTTGGTGAATGATCGTCGGCAGCCTCTGCTCCATTGAGAGTAACAGAGGTAAGTACGTAAGTAGAGTAAACAAATCTATATGAATTTTCTAAATTGAAACGTCTTCATACCTGATAAACTCCTCGCACATTTAGAAACAGGCAATCACCATACTTACTTGATATTTCTTCCAACACGTATCCATTTCTTACCATTTTGTTGATAATTGATTTTTGAATACAATAAAGGTTGTAAACCTATTTGGGGGAGGGGGAACAAACTATTCAGTTATGTATGTCTTATTATTCTATGAAATGAATGTGTCTTAAAAAATAATTTACATTTTGTTAAAAGAACTTTTAGATAGGAGTTTTGTAGAGATTATCATAATTGTTAATACTTGAATCCATGAATTAATTAAAGCTAGCCTGCCATAAAAAACCTGGAAGTACTGGACGGTCGTTTGGTCCAAGAAGTTACGAGTTCGTGCACGAGACCGATAGGTCCTAGGTTCGAATCTCGCGAGGCTGGATCGTGGATGTGAGATGCTGATGAGTTCCATACTAGGACGAAACGGCCGTCCAGTTGCTTCTAGGTTTTCCATGGTGGTTTAGTTTTAATTGATTCATGAATTCAATTATTAAACTCTTATATAGTTTAGGAAACGTTTAAAGTTTAATAATGTATTGAATAAACGTTTGACCTTAGTCAAATATCAATCAATTCATCATTTGATAACCATAATTTATTGTTATGAGTAGGTCAATAACTAGGAATGAGAAAATGTGGAAGTTATTCTTCAACTGTTTATGTTATTGCTAGAAATGGTTTTGTGGAGAATTGGTAGTTTTAGTAGTTGAAATCATAAATCAATTGAAGCTAGACCACCATGGAAAACCTGGAAGCACTGGACGGCCGTTTCGTCCTAGTATGGAACTCATCAGCATCTCACATCCACGATCCGGCCTCGCGAGATTCGAAACCAGGACTTTCGGTCTCACACGCGAACGCTTAACCTCTAAATTATCGAGCCGGTATCCAACGATGTTAATGTCTAACGTCAACTAATCCACGAAAGTGAGCCACTGTAACTCATTATCTTCAGTGAGCTGCTATCTCACAACCCCACTGATCACTGCTTCTCACCAGAACTCCAGGAAATATCTCTCGAAGCCAGTCACTAATCAGTATATTTTGGTTAATATCAGAAGGGGTTTTTTGTGGATATTATAGTAATTTTAATAGTTTAGATAAAGAGTCTATTGAAGCTAGACCGCCATAGAAAACCTGGAAGTATTGTGCGATCATTTCGTTCTATTGTGGGACCCCTCAGCAGTTACTTATAAGCTGACTATCGACTTTCTCATCAAATCATCAACGGGTGCAATTCATTATCTCAACACGTGATTGAAGCTTCATCTATCAATGCTTTCAAAAGAAAGTTGGACCAACCGAGAGACAATCATTGCCATGACTAACACTGGCCAACAAGCATCCAGTCCTTTATAAACTGAAAATGAAACTAAAAACATACTGGCGATTTTGAGTGAACCAATTAGATTTATAGGCAAGACCCAAATCACAATAAAGGATAATATATATCATATTGAGAAATAAGTATATATTATTTATATATAGTTCTTAAAATAGTCAAGAGTTGTTATAACTTGTGGCTCTGTGCCCTATTGTGGTGTGTGCTACATAACGCTAGTCAGGAATAGAATATCTGGCAGCAGAAGTTCAAGAAGACCGAGGAGGAAAGAAGGGGAACAGAAAGCAATTGGTATGGAAATGCAGAAACACTAAAGTCTGAGACGACTGTCCGATATTTTCAGAAGGGACAGTCAAGTTTGAAACAGTTGATTGATGTTATGCAAATTAAGTATTCACTATATGGTTCTCAGATTTTACTAAGATGTTCTGTGGTGTTGAGTTCAAATAGATTCGATCATCCCCATATATGTTCTCGTTCACTACAGCGTTAATGTATAACGTAATGACACTGTCAATTAGAGAACAGTAACTTATCGACTGGACTAAATATGCATAAACCAGTACGAGCAGTTTAGAGTCCTTATCGATTCTTCCTCCTGCATAGCCCTGCCTGTTGAGTCCAGAACGTCAGTCTCAGCCTCCATGATATGCATCATGTATTGCAAACATACTTATTTTATATACAAACCAAACAGACTACATCACATCATAAAATAGAAAATAACATTTGTAAAAGATCTAACCAAAAGTGACTGTGAATGTGGGAGACTGAAAATAATAGAGTAGATATAACTTAAGAATAGTTAGTCTCATAATAATAGTCTATAAGTCAAAATAAAGCTGAACCAGTATCTAACAGTGTTTATGTTTAACTTTAACTAATCCACGAAATTGAGTGAATCAGTGATCTAGAGGTTAAGCGATCACGCACGAGACTGATAGATCCTTGGTTCAAATCTCGCGAGACGGGATCGTGAATGCACGCTGCTGAGGAGTCCCACAATGGAGAGAAACGACTATCCAGTACTTTCAGGTTTTTCGTAGTGGCCTAGTTTCAATTCATTCATGATATCATCATATATTAAGAAAACATTTTAGATGGTGAAGATTTGTAGCTCAAGTTAATAATTTCCATGGAGTTTTATTCTCTCTAGAATTCTATCTGAAGTATGTGTTAATTATGTCATTCACAAAACTATTGAAATTATTTATTATTATTTATTTATTTCAACACATAGATATTGGTACAAGGAGGTACCAAATACATATGCACCACACAGAACTCATTGGATATGTGTGAGGGCTTTGATACTGCCCGGATGCCCAGACCGAAGCAGGTGGTTTTCTTAGGAGATCACACCCGGAGCCTTCGACCTGAACGTCTGACCCACAAGGCAGTGGAGCATTGTAAGGAGATGAAGTCCCATGGTAGCCGGTGACCAACGATTGGTTCATATGCCATTTGTTCCTTCAGGATACTGGAGCTAGCCCATGTGCACCATAGATTTGGGATCCGATTATAACGCCGAACATTCGCTTTTCGTTGAAAGCTCCACAATCAAACCATCCAACTTAAACAACAAAACTTTATCAAAAGAAAAATTTGGTTACATTTTGTTTTCTTCAACTAACCTTGTGAATATAAACTTGTTGGTTTTGTAAAATTTACAATAAGAAATGTATAAATAAAACCAGGTAGTATATTTTGTACACGAAAAAAATACCATTGTACATGACGTTTTGTATATAGATCCGGTTTTAATAATAATTCATAATGAAATGGTCCTCTAAAAAAAAGATGATTCAAAAAAGAAAAAAAAAATGGGGGAGAAAAAATCTTTTTCTATAGTATCTATGGAGATTGTCTATTTATATGAACATTATTTATTTATTGGAACACATAAATATTGATACAAAGGGGTACCGAATACATATGCACTTCATATATCATTTGATTTGTGTGAAGGCTAGGATAATGTCCGGGTACCCAGATGGAAACAGGTGGTTTTCTTAGGGAGCCAAACCCTGAGCCTTCGATCTCATGGTTCGATCCAATAAGTAGTGGAGTGATGTCAAGCGATGTAGTTACATGGTAGCCAGCGATCAACAATTGGTTCATTTAATATCTGTGCCTTCAGGATCCTGGAGAGCATGTGCACCATTGGTTTGGAATCAGGGTTTACCGATTCCCCTAGGTGGACTCTTCGTGTCTACCAACACGGTTAAAGCGCCAGATATTCACTTTTCGTCCTCTCAATTTCGTAAACAACAATAATCCTAAGAGAAGGTCATGAGTACGAATTCTATGTCAGTGGCTGTATACGCGTGGCCATATGAGAGCATTTCTTGAGGGAAACTGACTCTCCCCACCCTCAGCTGTGCAAGGTCATAAACATTATTAGGTCTTAAAGAAAACAAGAACGAAGATTGATGCAGAATAATATTAAATCATTTTGTATCGTTAGATTCTCATCAGCTACTTACAACCTAAAGTATCTTAAGATCACAGATATTGACATACTTATACATACAAGGATGATTAGAGATGAATATGTGTATCATGATGTAGCAAAGATTTCAATAGAGTTCAATAAGATTATGAAAATTGTTTGTTTTGAATAAATAAAGTTTTTTGAGGGAAATTTCCAGAACATTGAAGTAATAATTAGAGCTCATGGATTTAACTTGTTAGGTTCTCATTAGCTGTTGACAACCTATTATGTCTATTATGGAAACACTTAATGCTATCTTCCCAACATGTTACCATAAACTGGAACAAGAAAGAAGATGTGAATTGTAAGTGGTTTTCTTTTCAAGATTAAACTATGTAAGTATATTAAAGTTTAAGTTCAATCAGTTCATGATACTTACCAGTTATCAAACGGTCAAACGCCGCTACAGAGATTATAAGGTTAATCTCTAGACAAAAGACTAGAAGGTCATAATTGATTGATCACAGGGTGGTGACCAATGTCACGCGTGTCTAGTCCTTATTATTAGTGCAGATTGAATGCTATCGATCATGTTGCAATGTGGCTACCAGCCTAGGTGACTCGACACTGCGGGCACTATTGTAAGATTACATGGTCGTTGGAGGTAGTCGACAGGAAATCCTGAACCCGGGTTTCGTGCTACTTGGCACTCGTCAGCAAGGTGTACCAGGTGCACCAGTTCCCTCAAGACTACCTCCAGCTACCATCTAGACTAGAAGGCTCTTGGATTGATCTCTAATAGTATCTTGCATTTTGAACCGACTAAAGACTTGTTACTAATAATTAGATTTGTACATTCCTTATATTTTTCGTAAATCAATTGAATAGCCTACTTCAGATATACATAGTAGTGAGATTAATTTTCTAGATGCTTATACAAATAAACCACTGGATAGTTAAACATTTTTTGAGACAAATTTCATTGAAATAGCTTATCTGTGAATAGTTTTCATCATCCACTGACATCAAACAAAATAAAGCATTGGACAGCTGTTCCATCTATTTACATCTATGATGACTTTGGGAATCTACTGAATCTTTCAATCAATCCAGCAACACTCTGTTGAAAACATTTCCTGGTACTGAAAGAAGTGTGATGCCTGTGTAGTTCTCACATTCGCCCAAATCTCCTTTCCTTGGTATCTCCTTAAGATGTCCTTCGCTTCAGTCTGTCGGCATTAACTCTTTATCCAAAATCATCCTGAATAGAATGTGGAGCACCTACGCAGTTACTTCTATGTCTAACTTCAGTGCTTCGACTAGTATATTGTCAGGTCTTGCTGCTTTCTCACTCTTGATTTGTCTGATGATCATCCCGATTTCCAGGATCGTTGGTGCTATGACATCTATAGGAAGGTCTGGGTGTGTTGTTTCGATGTCTCGTGGATTCAATAGAGCTGACCTATTCAAGTGTTCCTCAAACTGATCTACATATCTATCCCTCAAATTTTGAATCTCAGTGATTGGCTAGCCTTCTTTGTCTTTTACCAGTCTCTCTGGTTTATTATATTCCCCTGATAGTTTCTTCGTTGCCTCATATGGCTATCTTATATTTTTTTCTCTTTCACACCGAAGAACACATTACGTCAGAAAATACAAACATATATGAAAAGGATGAATTATAACTGGAAAGAGCTGGAAAGGAATGCCCAGGACAGGGTTGGATGGAGAGTGCTGGAGGGCGGCCTATTCTCCTCCACGAGGAGTAACAAGCGTAAGTAAGTAAGTAAGTATGAATGACCTTGAAAATATTGATCACACATCACAGAGCTTACCCAACTACAAAATATCACAAAGATTTAGTGTCCTTTTATTGACCTGATAAAGTTTTACAATAAAAAGAGTTCATTTTATCCTGTCGCAAAAAAAGAAAAACAAGCTGACCTAAAAGGTGAATAATTAAATCAGTTATCTTATATTTATCAAAGTGTAATGTACTTTTGAAGTTCACTTTTCATAAAAACATCCATTTGTTTAATCAACATCAATATTTTCAATGAAATTTCATTTGTAAGAATCTTAATGATCTACATTCTGGTTCGAACTTTTTCATAGAAGTAATTAAGCATCACTAAGTCATTTAGATGATTTGGACTTCGCAGATGACCTGGCACTTTTATCCCATACACATCAATAAATACAGGTCAATAAAAACAGTGTAGCATCCGCCTCTGCATCAGTAGGCCATAACATACTCAAAAGAAAAATTCAAGATCCTCAAATCTACTACAGAGGACACAAACCCAATCACACTTGATGGCTTAACGCTGGAAGATGTGGAATCTTTCACATACCTAGAAAGCATCATCGATGATCAAGGAGGATCCGATACAGACGTGAAATCGTGGATTGATAAAACAAAGACAGTATTCCTATAATTGAAGAATATATGGAACTCAAAACAACTGTCTTAAACGAGAGTCAAAGTCTTCAATACGAACGTCAAGACAGCTAGTTCTGTTGTACGGAGCTGATACTTCGAGAACTACCACAACCAAAATCGAAAAGGCACAAGTATTGATAAACAATTGTCTACACAATATATTCAATGTCCGTTGACCGGATACTATCAAAAATAGCCTTCTGTAGAAGAGAACAAATCGGCTTCCAGCTAAGGAGGAAATTAGGAAAAGACATTCTAAGTGGATAGCACCCACACTGAGGAAATCATCAAGCGGCATCATGAAACAAACGCTTACCTGGAATTGTAAAGAGAAAAAGAAAAGAGGAATGCCAAAGAACACACCACGTCGGAAATTGGAATCAGACTTAAAAAGGATGAATAAAAACTCGAAATAACTGAAAAGGATGGCTCAGGACAGGGTTGGATGGAGTATACTGGTAGGTGGTTTATGCTCCTCCATGAGTGGTAACAGGTGTAATTAAGTAAGTAAGCTTTAAATGCTTTAAAAACTGTTTGATAATATGAAACTGTCTACTTCCTATGGTTATCTGTCATAGTCACTTGTTTGAATTTGATATCAATAAGTAGACATAAAAAATAATAACGAAGATTTATAGCTGAGGTGGTTACTTTTGATAGTGTTATGTTCTTTAAGCTGAGTGATTAAGCTATAAAGGTTTTCTTTTCGTTTTGAATAACATTCTCGATGAGTACTCCATGTGGAAGCGAGCTTTTTTCAATTATTCATTAAGCATTTAGTCTACGACTTCTGATGGCCTTATTTCTGACTCGAAGTCTTCGTAGGTTGTGGACCTCATGTTCCCGTTAACTGTTTTGTTCATAACTGACCCTTAACCATTTGATTGGATGATCTTTTCCTCACTGATTGATTAATTAGATCTATGTATTCATGTGTTTGTTGATTGTAAATTGACTTGAATAACATTTATTCAGACGTTTTATGACTATCTTTGAGTTCCTTCAATTTAGAATTTTGTCACCTTAACAATCATATATGTCCTTATAGTTGCCTATATGAACTGGTATAAATGCTCGTGTATTAATAGGTGTCCGCTTTGTCCGATGTGATACTTCTCCCAACTGATGCAATCTCGCGTTTTTCGCCTCTCGATGTCTTCCGGTCTGCATCGAATGGTACTAGTTAACCGTGTTGGCTTGAGTGAGACTCTGATCTTAAAGTGTCTAGAAATCTAGGAGATATTTTTGAAATATCTTTCATATATGAAGGAACCGCCTAGCTTCCAGTTTCTGATGATTGATTCTACGATGGTACGTAGACTTGCTTAATATCTATGACTGAAGTTGTTCAAAAGACAAATATAAGATGTGTTTCTGTACTTTTTGAAAAACTGGGCATACTGCAGTGAGGTTTAGTACTTCTCAAGTATCTGCTTACAACTTCTTTAGTGAGTTGTTATGTAATTGAAAATGTAATGCAAGATTTGATTTACCTAACTTGGTTTCCCTTTTACTTATGTTCCCGACATTCATATGTTTATTCTATGAATTAAGATGTCTAAAGACTTAAATTTGCCGTGAATTTCTCCATCAACAGTACCGAAAGTTAGTTATACACTTTTGTCACTTAACTAAACAGTAGACGTACTTTCCATTTCTGACTGTCCTGGTGCGAAGCAGTGACTGATAGAGATCAACGATGTTAAATAATGTTTGAATGTACATCATTAATAGGATTCGATAATTGTTCTAAAAGACTGTGAAATAGTCTCTTAATTGAACACTCTACATTACGCATCTCAACTTTGTGGTCTAAAGGTATCATTGTCAACTATGGAACGTGAAGATTCTAAATTCGACTACTAATTTCAATAGACACCGTAAGGTATTTCAATAATATTAAGTCATAGATGACAAGTAAAGGACATTTCAACTAATACGGTGCTCATTAGCTTGATGTGTAAATATTGTATTACCAACTGTACAATAGAATAAAAGTAGTAAAGCGTTTCCTTTAGAAAAATAGAATCTGAAATAGCTTTGCCTTCTCATAATGGCAAGAAGAGGTCGAAGACGTTCTCACCTAAAAAGAATACACGTCTTCTTGACACATAAACTTCCGTCGCTGTTAGTAAGGTTTAATAAGTACAGGGCTAACTCATCTAAAACTTACGAAATGGTTGTGTATAGGCTGGTCCCAAATAACTGTTCGACAGACTACATCATCATTCTTTCATGTTGTAGCAGTAAATAAATCCCCGAAATAAATAGCTCTGTAAGTCTTCAACATTGTAAGCCAACCATATTAGTTTTAATGGACTCATCTAGCTGAAGGCGATCGGTCATTCATCCGCACCAGATCACAAGTGGGAACGCCGTACTCAACATCCCCTGCAATCGCTAGCCAGATTAGATTAGTCCATCCACGATATATTGATAGCCTATTAAATATATCTTTGAACCTCCTTGCTTCCGTCTTTTGATTTCACTTAGTGGGTAAGATTCGCAGTAGAAGGTGTTACTGAAGTATATTTCCACTGTCTGGACAATCAGCAACTAACAACTAGTCTCACTTCCTAACAGAATTGAAAACTACCTTAATCATATCATTATTTTATTCTTTTATAAAAGCACTGCTGTCATTTTACTTACATTCGCCTAACTTGTCGTAGATTTCCTGATTCAAATCTTGATTCAAAGACTAAACATGGTGGTGTCCATTGTTCAACATTGGTTAACTCTTCAACTAATTGTTTTATATTCAAAGAAGATGATGTTGATGTTTCTGATAAACAAGGACTACATTCTGAATCGAATATAACTCGTATTCCTTTGAACTGAGGTTGTTTGTTTCTTAGTTGTTTAATCTCTTCAGTATAATCAGGAATAGTTGGTTTATTCACTAGAGAAATACAATAAAGGTTAATGAGTTAATAAATAAATGATAAATAGAATTAAAGTTTGATTAAAAGCCAATAGCAGGTATTTATTCAAGGAAAATGTGAACTTATCCGCGTTGAACAAGAAAAGTATTGTTTGTTTGAATCATCCCAGTCTCTTATTGGGATATATGCATTCTGTGAAGATTGTCTTGATATTGGTTTAAGTCAAAAGGATTATTAGCAGATATGGGATGGTGGCTAACAATGAAATCTAGGAAATGTGTTTTGTCCTATTTGAGACTCATCAGTTGGATGCATTTAAATCCTAAAGTTGATGTTCACTCTAAACGTTTAAAGCGCATGGTGCTGGGATGCAGCTATATCCATCTGAAGAGTTTCAAATAGGACGAAACACGTGTATTAAATTACACAGCTAACCACTAACCATCTCTGATTACAATAGAATCCTTTCGATCGATGGATTATTACTGAAACACTCCTGAACAACGTTACTCAGAGCCTTGATTGCAAATCACATCGTAGAGATGCCAATTATATATATATATGAAGTAACTAACCTCATTAAATGAACATCTTATTGTCTAGTACTGTAACAACCTGTATCCTTTTCCAACCGAACTGTAATTTTGTTAAATACATATGAATCATTCCAGTTGTTTTCTCCACTATTGTTTAGGTGATTCAGTACTAAATTATAATAGAGTACTCTGTAAGTCAGTCATAACATCGTTCAAATTCAGAACCTTAAGTTAGATGCACATAAGATTAGATTAGAAGAATCCATACTGAACAAGTCGTAAGTTTTAATAACCCTATATTTTCGTATCAATCAAGCCATAATGAATAACGATGGATTAACTATTGAAATCAAGCTTATTTAGTTCCTAGCGACAACAGAATCTCAGTATACTCTATGAGAATTTATGATGAATTAACAACTCTTACTATTTTTTAGGTTTATATAATTCAACCGTCTGACTATAGAATCCACTAATGACGTTTAGTCTTTAAACCTATAAGATCAAAGATCTTCACTTAAACCAATGACACACTCTAACTAACATCAAATGACCTTTGCAGCTACCTGAAAATAACTCGGCTTCCCTATAATTCTGTAAGCAGTTAGAAGTCGAAGTACAACCTTCAGATAATGACTTATTATGATTATTAATGAAGAACTTATAACTGATCGATTATTGATCAGTGATCAGTTTAGTGTTTGTTTAGTTTCTTTTAGTGAACTTGTCCACAAATCGATATATGGAAGTAAGAATAAAATATGATTGATCGTTGAGCGTGTACAAACAGGCACATTAGATACTGGAAATTAAATATGTGATTTCTTTTCCTTTCATTCATTTCTACTCTAAACTTGTTTGTGCCTGGAATAAATTATCATATAGTGTTAATCAGCTTCTTTATTCTGGATCGTGAGTCCCAAATCTGATATAACGTGACTAGTCTCATTGTCGTATTGTGGTATGTATTACTGACATCGACAGATATCAGTAGTATGTATCATCAAACGAAAGTGGAATACCTGATGGCAGAGAGTTAAGAAGATCGAAGGAAATAGAACAAGAGCAGAGAATGACTGCTGTGGAAACAAAAGAACAATAAAGTTTGAAACAATCAATTGACATTTTACAAGTGAAGTATCCACCGTATGGTTTTCAGATTATGCTGTGGTTATGTATTCGAACATATTTTGTTGTCCTCACTTGTGTTCTCGTTCACCTCAGTATTAACGTATTATTGTAATTTCCTTGAAAGACTGGAAAAATATTCCAAACCATTCGTTACATCATCAGCCTTAGTTAGGACGAAACCTAATCGCAGAATCTCTTATCAACTACGTTCAACTACGACGACCGTTTTGTTCTATTGTGGGATTTCTCAGTGGCAATGCGCATCCACGATCCCGCTCACCAAAGTGTGTTAATTAAAAGAAACGGCTGTCCAGTACTTCCAGGTTTTCATTCGTGGTCTAACATCAATCAGTTCATGATCTCAATCAAAAACTTAATAATCTCTACAACTATATACTGATAATTACAATGTGCTCACTATTGACTAGCTTTGTGAGAGAATTCTTGGAGTTCTATTAAGAAGCTGTGACTAGTAGAGCTAATTCGTATCAATTAGAGACAGATATCTACCTCAGTACAATGGAAGATGATTACAAAATTTTGTGGATTGGTTGAAGTTAAACATCAACACCGTTGAATGCTGGCCAGCTCAGTGGTCTAGTAGGTTAAGCGTTCATGCGCGAAATCAAAGCACTTGAGTTTGAATCTCTTGAGCGGGATCGTGGATTCTCAATGCTGAAAAGTTCCACAATTGAAAGAAACGGCCGTCTACAACCCTATCCTGTTAATATTCTTCAAACAACAATCTTCAATAATTAAATAGTATCCACATCAACCTGATGTATACAAAAAATTAATCTTACCATTATGATCATTCGAATGATATAATGTTTGACAAATAGGTCCATAATTTTGTGGCCAAAATGGTCCATGTCTATCACGAATAACTGAATTCCAATCAATCAATGTAGGTAGTGTATTAAATGAACAATTTCTTGTTTGACTACTATCATTATTATAATTAGAATGAACAATTGTAGATGTTGATATACCATTATGATTATCAATTTTATTTGAAGAAGAACAACAACAACAAGAATCATTGATTGATTGATCAATAAATGAATTATTGATTATTACATAATCTAATGGTTTATTGATTGATTGATTCATTAAACGATATTGTGTACCATCAGGTAATTTATATTGAGATTGAATTGTAGCTATTAAATAAGCTGCTCTAGTACTACTGAAATAAAACAACTGTATAGATTGAAAATAAAAGTAATACAAAAAAAAAAGGATTGAATCATTATTGATTTATTTCTTTTTATTTGAACATATAAATATTGGTACTAGGAGGTGCCGAATAAATATGTATCACACAAGTCATTTGATTTATGTGTGGACTGTGAGACTTCCCGGGTGACTAGGTCAAAGCAGATAGTTTTCTTAGGTGGGGAGTCACATCTGAAGCCTTTGACTTAAAGGTCTGATCCATAAGATAGTGGAGAAACATTAGAAGATACAATCACATGGTAGCCGATGACCAATAAATAGTTTATATCCTATCTGTTCCCTTAGGATCCTGGAGAATATGTGCACCATTGGTTTGGAATCAGAATTTTCCAACTCCTCTAGGTGGACTCTCCGTGATGACCAACCCGGTTAAAGAGCCGGATATTCATTTTTCGTCCTCTCAATTTGTAAATTACACCTGGGCTGTGAGACGGCAGAGAGTAAGACTTCCCTGGCTGTGGTTACATGTACGTGGAGATATGAGAGCATTTGAAGAGGAAGAACTAACTCTCTGCACCCTCGACCGTTCCAGGGCATTTAGGGGCTTTAGACCACATGGAAATAATTATTGCTTTTAGTATAAATGATGATGAGAATATAATTTATGGACGACCTTTTAGCGACGCCTCAGTGACTTTGATAATGTTCACCTACTTACTAGAGCTAAATGAGAGTTACAAAGCAGTTCGAGGAATAAGGATTATGATTTACATTCGATGGTTCATGGTTAGGAACTGGGTTTATGGTTTTTATCACTAGCTGGCATCAGTTAAAGTGCCAAAACGCTATTTAGACAAATTAATGAATAAATTTCCCGCTAAAATCCAAATTCTGTTATCTTAAATCTGATTGGTTCGTCCATAAATTATAGTGTCACCTAGGTGATTTATGGAGATTGTTGAAAGTAATAGAGATCACGAATCAATTTAAGTTAGGCAACTACTGAAGACAAGGTAGCACTGTACAGCTTTATCGTTCTATAATATTTTCGTTGGCAGTCTATCCACAAACCAATCACAAATAAAACCCTGGATCTTCAGGTCTCCAGTCCTAGACCATTAATCCAGGATTCAATGGTATAAATGTCTAACTGAGATCAATCTATAATAAAAATTATGAAAATTTAACAGTATTCATAAACACCCATGACTAATAACAACTATGTGCTCATTAGTAATTAATTTTGAGGGATAATTCTAGGAGTTCTAACTAGAAACTATGAGCGGTGGAATTCAATTACCCTCGGTGTAAATCAGTTATTGACCAAAGACAATGGAAGATGGTTGCTCAATATTGAAAATTGATTAAAGTTAGGCATGTATACTATTGAATGCCGACTTGATGGTCTAAAGATTTAACGCTTAAAACTACACTTGATAGTCGTGAACTCTCTGCGCTGAAGAGTGACATAATAAAATGAAATGGGTATCGATTGATTCCTGGTTTTTTGATGATTGTTTAACTTAAGTCAGTTAGCAATCTCATTATTCACTTTCCTAGTTGATTTAGTACTTAATAAGAGAAAATATTTTATCCTATAATCATTCACTTTAGGACGAGATTTATAGTATTGATGAAACTTTAAACGGGAACAAGCAGTTAATGGGTACATTATAATCATAACACTGGACGGCCGTTTCGTCCTAGTATAGGACTTCTCAGTAGTGCACATTCAGTGCTTCCAAGTTTTTCATGATGGTCTAGCTTGAATCGTCTCATAAATTCAATTATATCTTATTCTGTTTTTCTTTCCTTCATTCTCTCATATTAAGTTTATATCATCATGACTTAACTACCATGCAATGCTAATTCATATGAATAATCTTTAGCTTATATTCCTCACATGGATTACATTGTCAATCAATCAATAAACTGTACTGTGTGATCATCTTTTCAGCTTCCTAAAAGGATCTTGTATGTTTCAATTGAATGAATGATTGTATTTCATCCATACAAAAGTTAAGTCATATGCTTAGTTAAAATAAAATTTTCTAACAGATTTATAGTATCGAATTCAATCTTTCTAACAAATCTCTTACAAATGTGGTGTGTTCTACTGATGTCGAAAGATATAAGTAGTATATATCACCCATCAATCGAAATTAAAAATGTCTGACAACCGAGAGTTAAGAAGTTCGAAAGAAATAGATCGAGAACAGATAGTGATTGGTGTGAAGACAAAGAAACAACATAGTCTGAGACAATTAATGGATATTCTGCAAATGAATTATTTACTGTATGGGAAGATACAAGTAAACAGTACCAAGTGAATTTAAAACTTCACCCTATTGCACAAGCAAATGGCTATCAGGACTCAATAGCTAAGTGAATAATACGATGGAGTTTGAAGTGATTGGTACTAGGTTCGAGTACCAGAGTGAACATCAACTATGAGATACAGGTACATCCATCTGACGAGTCCTAGATAGGAAGAAACGCGCGACTTATTGGATCATTCTGCTAATCACTATCCATCTTTGTTTAGTGTATAGTTCTCAGATTTGACTTAGAGATTCTTTATTTTTTTATCCAAATACATTTGATTGTCCCCTCTTGTGTTCTCATTTACTACACAAGTAGTAAAGTGAAAGTTCTCATCTCATAACTCCCCCCTCTTCAAAAAATAAACTCTTGTAACCTTTCTAAACCCCTTACTGTGTTCAATAATTTAATGAGTACTTCAACTGTACTTTTAAAATTTTTTTTTACTATTACAACGGTAATAAACGTTTTAAATGAAAGTAATGAAGTACAATTCATTTAAGATTAAAGTTGAATATCATAGAAACCAAAAAAAAATCAGAAATGAGATTCCGTTATTTAGTTACTAAGACAGTCGTTGGAATGTGCGGTGGTCGGTATACCAATATAATCTTTAAACTTCATATACTATTCGTCCTGATAAACGTCACTAGATAACACCTCAACGGTGTATTAATCAGAAGGTGAACACAAAATGTTGATTAGGTTTATGATTACACCACGATGCACAGATCATTAAAATTACAGGTAGGTGGATCCTCTATATCCACCAAACCGGTTAAGGCGTATGACATTTGCTTTTCGTCTTCTCAATTTCGTAAATAACAATAATGTCGCGAGAAGGTAATGAGTAGGACTTCCCTGTTGGTGGTTGTATACACGTGAACATGTAAGAGCATTTGAAGAGGAGGAGCTTACTCTCCTCGCTGTCGGTCGTACCAGGGCCGTTCTTCAGTGTCCAGATCTATTGGATATCTGTTCATCCATTTAATTGGTGAAAGCTGCATAGAAGAATTTCATTTTCACTGGAGATTTTACTTCAAGCCCAAAGTTTGAGTTATTGTTTTATCTAACACGTTGGATTGAGTTAAACTGACGTATTCATGGCAGACAGTTGTGGATAACTTCAAATTCTTAAAATGAGGTCTCTTATGGAAATTACACTCTTATATGAAGGGAATATATCCGGAAGCCTTGAATACTGTACACTTTTTGAACAGTATAAAAAAAAACGGATGGATGACTTCACATCTATAAAACATTCCTACCCTATAGCTGATCTTAATAATAATTCATGCATAAAGCTTTATTATTCATGTTACTCTTATATAACTGATATTTGCTTTTATTATAAATCGTGTCATAACCAAAAAAACCCTTCTAATTGACTTAGAAGTTATCCAAGATAGTCTATATACTTTACTTTCGTTGCAAAAGCAGTTGATTCCGTATCTAACATTGGAATACAAAATTTATGTCTTGCCTTATTTAGACTTCGTCATTTGGATGTACCTACATCTCAGGAATTTGAATCCAATACCTCCCGTTTGAAACATCAACACTTTAACCACTTAACTACTAATTCTCGGATAGCCACTTAACAACGTAACAATCCAAACCATTGTAAATCAAATTAAATGTTATGTAAACTCACTTGGTATTGTTTACTTAAATATTCCCATTGATGTTTAGGACTACAATTGATCAGTCCCTTATTGGTATATGTGCATACTGTGAGTATCGCCTCGATATTGCCTTAATTCATAAACACTATGAGAAAAGATGGATAGTGGCTAGTAGTGGAATCCAGGACGAGCGTTTCTTCCTCATTGAGACTCATCAGCCGAATATACCTGTATCTCAGAGTTGATGTTCACTGTAAGACTCGAACCTAATACTATTCACTTCAAACTTTATCGAGTTATCCACTTAGCTACTGAGTCCTGATAGCTACTAGCTTGTTCAATCGGGTGAAATTTAAATTAACTCTGAGATACAGGTGTATCTAGCTGACGAGTCTCAACTAGGACGAAACACATGTCCTGGATTCTACTGCTAGCCACTATCCATCTTTGCTTATTATGTAAACTATTCTATCTGAATAAAATATTACTGAAAGTTGTAAATACCAAACCAATAATATTGAAATATCTAACTCTCAGCTATAGATATTCCTAAAGTTATTAGTTCCTTTAAGTATCATTAAAACTGTCAATTATTTAATATTATTTCTATGTATTTGATCAATTTTAGATTATATAAAAGCATTCAAGCTTATGTGTAATGGAATAGATAATGATCGGATCATCATTATAAAATCAAAATCTTATTAGATTCATTCAATGTTATCTGTTGAACAATAAATAGTCATCTTGTTGTAACGGGCGGTATCTGAAATCTGATACATAATGTGCTATGCACCCGACCCCCATCTTTTTAATTGTTTACTTGAGTGACCGGTAAAGTGTATGGGACTACCGAATAAAATGTACAGGTACCCGTTTTTATGTACGTCACTCTTATGCTTAGGAAATTGATCTATTTCGTTGTTAATGAAATACAGTTATCATTAGGTTACTTCTGATTGTCATCAAGGACGTGACATACATGACATTCATCACGACCCAGTGATTAATCAGTTGTAGATACATCTCAGTTGCGGCGCGAATAGCTATGTTGTAACATCTCTGAATGTGAAGCTGGGTGATACGGGATGGAATACGTTAGGAAGCTTCAGTTTCTTCAAGATTACAGGTAAGCCTTGTTAATGAGTGCCAAGTAGCACGAAACCTAGGTCCAAAGTTTTCTGTTGACTACCTCGAACCACTATCTTATCTCAACACAGTGTATGTAATGTCGACTCACCTAGACTAGTGGCCACATTGCAACTTCGTCGATAAGATCCGATTTGGATCAAGAAGGACCTTACATACATAACATTAATCACCACCCAATGATCAATCAGTTGTAAATTAACCTTTTCATTAGGTTATTGCGGATTGCCTCTCTCCATATCATATTGCCTAATAAAACTCATTGATTACTAATGATCGACGGTGTAGGGTTTCAATAAAAAATACATATATTCTAAGTAAGGATAAACAAATATAAATTAAACCACTATCCACCATTGTCTTCAGTGTGTTATTATCTGACAACAGACCCGGTGGAACTTCACTGGTCACGGCTAGTCAGTAGAACTCCAGGAAATACCTCTTGAGGTCAGTCACTAGTGAGCAGATGATGATTATTATCAAAAAGAGGGTTTTGTGGAGATTTGAATGATTTAATAATTGAATTCATGAGTCAATTACAACTAAACTACCATGGAAAAACCCATAAACATCTTATTATGGGATTCCTCAGAAATACACATCTACAATCCCACCCGTAGGATTCTAACCCAAAATCTATCTGTCTCTTATGTAAAAATGTTTGACCGGTAGTATAACTTCAATGAACTTATGAATTCAACTAAAAAAAATTACTGAAAGTCTTCATAAAACACCACCCCCCCTACATCCACACATTCTAAAAATATCAATTATTATTATTATCAGAAGATGTTTTGTGTTGATTTTAATAATTTCAATAGTTGAGATCATGAGTCGATTGAAGCTAGAACACTATGAAAAACCTAGAAGCATTGGATGGCCGTTTCATCCTAGTATTGGATCGTCACTGAAGAGTCTCAAGGAGGCACCAAATACATATGCACCACACAGATCTCATTGGATATGTGTGTGGGCTGAGAGACTGCCCGGGTGCCCAGACCGAAGCAGGTAGTTTTCTTAGGGGGCCACACCCCGAGCCTTTGACCTAAAGGTCTAACCCACAAGGCAGTGGAGCATCGTAAGGAGATGCAATCCCATGGAAATTGGTTCATACACCATTTGTTCCCTCAGGATACTGGAGCTAGCCCATGTGCACCGGTTAAAGCGCTGGACATTCGCTTTTTGTCCTCTCATTTTCGTAAACAACACCCCCGTCACGAGAAGGCAATGAGTAGGACTTCCCTGGTAGAGGCTATCTACTTGTGGCCATGTAAGAGTATTTCGAAAGGGAGAGCTAACCCTTCTCACTCTCGACCATACCAGAACATTTGAAGGCTGAAGAATTCCACACAGAGAATAAAACAACCATCTATTTACTTTTAAATTTTTCATCATCATCATCTCATTTCAATTAATCATATTACCTGTTTTTCACCATCAGTTAATCGTCCAAATTTTTCCATAATTGATTGACGTGTATATAATTGATTTTTTATCAATTTTCTATTTATATTTTTATTGAATATTATTTTATTCTTATAGAATTTTTCATAATATTTATATATTAATTGTATATCATCATTAGTTAAATAATTAGATCTTATTTGATCATATTTATGTATATGATTAGTTATAATTTGATCTAGATCATGATTATAATCATCATTATAATCATGATCATCATAATCAATAATTTGATCCTGATCAAAATTACATTCAATTAAATTCCAATCAAATGTAAATGTATCATTTAATAATTGATTATATTCATATGGATTATTATCTTTTAAATCATTTAAAGATATTGGATAAATAGATGAATTAGTGGATAAAGATTGTTTTGAATTAATCATGGTATTTTTATAATGATGTAATTTATTCATTAAATATTTTGAATAAGTAGTATTATTAGATATACAATTGATGAATGAATCATTATGAAGTGGTTTATGAAATGAATGATGATGGTGATGATGATGATGATGATGATGATGTAAATAGGATTCAATAGAATTGTTATTTAAGTAGTATAATGATGATGGATTACTATCAGATGTATTCTATGAAGAAAAAAAAAAGAAGAGCGATTCATTTCAATGAATTATCAATAATGAACCAATTGATGTGAGATCATAATTGAAAGCCTGAAAGTACTGGACAATTGTTTTGTTCTATTGTGGGAATTCTCAATGACAGTGAGTATTGAGAATCCCAATCACTGGATTCGAGCACAGGGTGTAGTGTCTGTCATTATGTTAAGCCCAAATACCTCATTATTCTAACTTTCGGACAGCTCATTCTATTCATTCTATTTGAGTCACATTCTGACCATGTTAATTATTCGCTTATCTATGTCTTGACTGTCTTTGTATGAGCGCGTAGGCGTATGCACACTTCTTATCCCGTTACTCATTACATGTCTGTAATTTATTTTTGTGGGCTTATAAATATTGATTAACACTTTGTTAAAGGGAGAGTTGGCTTACCAGCCATCTCCACCGCGCGCCAACTTAGCTTCGCTTTCTAATCTTCGCATCGTTCCTCCGTTCGTTTGTCTAATCAACAATTATACAAAATATATGCATTCAAAACTCCATTCTCGTTAGTTGACTTATTTAATTCCGTTATTAACTAACGCGATTTAAGTCAATGATTATATACGAGGATAGACGATAGCAACCAATCATTACGATCAAATTGGAGTCAGATCACAGGCTACTAAAATGGTGATCCCGCCACCACAAGCGAACACAACGGACCACTAAAAGGGTTTTCAGTTTTACGAATGAACACTCAACCTCTAAATCACTAAGCCAGCCGCCATTCAATGGTGTTGATGTTTAACTTTAATTAGTTCACGAAATTACACAACCATCTTCCATCGTACTGAGGTAGATATCTGTCTCTAATCGATACGAATTAGCTCTACTAGTCACAGCTTCTTAATAGAACTCCAAGAATTCTCTCACAAAGCTAGTCATTAGTGAGCACATTGTAATTATCAGTATATAGTTGTAGAGATTATTAAGTTTTTGATTGAGATCATGAAATGATTGATATTAGACCACGAATAAAAACCTGGAAGTACTGCACGACCGTTTCGTCCTATTATGGGACTCCTCAGTGGCAGTGCGCATCCACGATCTGTTGATTGGTTGAGGATAAACATTAACACGGTTGAATGCCGGCTGGATCAGTGGTTTGGAGGTTAAGCGTTCGCGTGCAAGATTTAAGGTTTTGGGTTCGAATCTCACGAGCGGGATCATGCATGCGCTCTACTGAGTAGTCCCACACTAGAACTAAACGGGCGTTCAGTTACTTCCAGGTTTATCATGATGAGCTAACTTCAGTTTTATCTGATCAACACATCTATAAAAAAAGGAACCTATCTTTTCATTTACAATTTACTTCAAAGATAATAACCAATTAACTTACTTCATTCTTATGCACTTCATTACTATTTAAAGAAATCTGATTATCATAGTAACTATTTTCATGATTATTTTCGGTAACAGATAAAACTGTTAAATCTTTTATTCCATTTGTTGATAATCCAGATTTTTTATTCCATAATATATTTTGACTATTTATATTTATATTCAATTTTTTAGACCAATTTAAATGTTGATAATATGATTCTGGATGCATACGTAAATCCATTCTATTTATATTATTATTTATATTATTATTTAAACTACTTATATTTATATTAGTAGTATTTGTTGTTTCATTAAAATTTAATTTATCATTCATTTGTATAACAAGTTGTTTTTTTTTTTCTTCATTTTTTAAACGTTTATTTATTTCATAATGAAATTCATTTAAACGTCTACGAATAATACGTTCACGTGGTGGAGTTTTAACAGCTTGACGTACTTTTTGACATAATTCACGTTCAAGTTTTATACGTAAATCATTATTGGATTGTAATTGATGATAATTGAAGTCTGAATATAAATCAAGTAATAGATAAATACAAATAATGTCAATTTATATTGACAATTGATTTTAAATAAGATTATCGTTGAATATCAAGAAGTAGTGGATAACTTGTAGGATATAGAATTGAATAAGTTGGATAAAGCTACATTCACCGTCATCGTCGTACCTCTTGGATAGTAGTGTAGTGAACAAGAACACCAATGAAGAAAATCGAATGTATTTGAGCACATAATTACAGAGCATCTTAATAAAGTCTGAGAACCATATATAGTAAATCGTTAATTTGCAAATATCAATCCATCGTCTCAAACTTGACTGTTCCTGTTGCAAACATCAGTCGATTGTCTCAGATTTCATTGTTCATGCGTTTTCATATCAAATGTGTTTCGTTCCCGTTCTTTCCTCATCGACCTCCTAATAAAATACATTCTATGCCTGATCACCGTCATATACTACTTGCTTGGATATAAGTAACCCACACAACAGTAGGACTTGTCCTATGAACTAACGTGAGCAGTAAACTGGGTGGTAGAGATCGGAATAATCAACTACTAGTCCGATACCCATAAACGATTACAAGGGCTACAAAGATAAACCCTTAGCATATGGACCACCAGGTGGTCCTCGTAATCCGCAATAATGCACAAACATCATTATCAAGGATTGATTCCTACTGGATTCTTATAATTGTTTATATGAGATCGGTTTGTAATGTAAACTATGAAATTCAACAATTATTAAAACTATGTATAGTAGGATTTTGGAATTTATAGTCCATGTACAATTGCATGCCATTTTAAGGATAGACTCACTATTGTCTACTATTGTAGTGAACGAGAACACAATTGGGGATACAAAATTACAGAGTAACTTAGTAAAATCTGAGAATACATCATTTATAAAACGTTAATCAATCGTTTCAGACTTTATTGTTCATTCGTTTCCATAGCAACCATTCACTGTTCTCCTGCTCTTTTCTTCGATCTTCTTAACCTTTTGCTATCAAGCATTTCACTTTTGATTGGTGGGTGATATATATTCTACTTATATCTGTCGACATCAATAGTATGCACCACATTAACAATCATATGTGTAAATGTAAGGAAGTTTACTGACCAACTATCAATCGAGCTTGATACGTAAACTTTTAGAAAAGTAAGATTACCCACAGTAATATCCCCATCGGCATGTTATTAGTTACAATGAACTCGATGAAAGTAAACTGAGAATAGGAAGACTAAAAATGTAAATGTATGTACTATTCACCTTTATGATTAATTTGTTTAAATTGATTTGAGAATTACTTTGTATGGATAGTTTAACCGTATTAGTCATAAGGTAAGCCCTCACATGGTATCCTTAAAGCCAAATGAGAAGAGGAAGAACAAAGAACACATTACGCCGCGAAACGGAGATAGACATGAAAAGAATGAACAAGAGTTGGATAGAGTTAGAAAGGAAGGCCAAGGAAAGAGTGGACTGAAGAATGCTTTCCGCTGGTCTATGTGAGTAAGTAAGTAAGTAAGTAAGTAAGTAAGTAAGTAAGTAAGTAAGTAGGTAAATATTCTTTCCATTTGAACCATGAACATAGATTACAAGAATAAATCGTTTTAAAAAATTAAGATGATATTAGAAAACTGTCAGTAGACATTTTGAAGATCATCTTCATTATAAAGTGTCAGCTGTTGATAAACATAAACCTAAGACCCTGGTTTCGAATCCTACGAGTGGGATCGTAGATGAGTACTGTTGAGGAGTTCCATAATCGGACGAAACGACTATTCACTACTTCCATGTAATTACATAAAAATCTTATTTCTTGCATTGATAATAAGTCAATCTATTACATAGGCTATTTAACTTTATTCATAGAATACATTCAATATAAACATCTTGTTAATTGAAACCCTTCTTGTAACCACTTGAATGTTTCGAGTAGATTGTAACTTGTAACAGATGAACACTTGTAAATCATTTAAATCATCATTACATAAGAACTGAATATCTATAAAGATGTTTATTTATCATGTATTATCAAGTATCACCTTTGAAACTAGAAATAATGGAATGTTTTTTTTTTCCTTCTATTCACAATGTTTAAAATAATGAAGTAAACTTGTAAGGACAATCTATAGATGAACTTGAGGATGTTCTAATAATCTCCGAATGAGTTAAAGATATCCCATCTAGAAGGTATTCCAGAATAAGTGATCAATAAATTCTCAATGTCATACAAAGGTAACCCCCCCCCCCCAAGACGTATCATAACTGATGAATCATTAGATTTTATTTCCTCATTCTAAAATTTATTTATCCTTTGAATTCAATTATAAATGAATATCCATAGAATTTGATATATATTTTATGAGGAATTTATATCACAACTTCACCTGGAGCCTCTCTGGGTCTACTGCCGGTTCCAATCCCGGATATAGGAGGAGGGTTGGGCATGGGGTTAGTGACTCAACCCTGTAGAAAACTAACTCACATAAGTAACTTATGTCACATTTTTAGGGATGACAACAATTCGTTAAAAAAGAGATCTAATTATACGTCAATGCCGCATTCAACAGTTATCATATTTACACTATAGCGACTAGCCTTGAGGGGAAATTGCTTAAGTTCTAGTGAGAAGCTATGACCAGTTGGGTTCAACCGAGTTGCGTGTGAGTATTATGACCACCGAAAGCAATGATAAGTTATTGCACAAAATTGTAGATTAACTGAAGTTAGACTTTTAAATCATTGGATAGTGGCTAATTGGTTTATAGGTTAAGAGTTTGTTTATGAATTCAAAGGTCCTGGATTCGATTCCCGCTTTCAGAGTCATGATTACTTACTGTTTAGTAGTCTCATATTAGAACGAAATGGCTTTTCAATGTCTCCAGACTTTAAATAGTTCTCATACTTAGATTGGTTCGTGATTCTGATAAAATTTAATATGAATCATAAATCCCTAAATATTATAAATTATTGAAGTGATAAGGGATAGATGATATGGTAAGCATAGCCAGAAATAAAAATCAACCATTCATAGAATTCACAAATCCCCTATTATTCTAAATATTAGTTGAAACCATAGCAACTGATTAATAGATTGACATATTTAAAGTTTTACCGAAGTTTTCATTCCAAATCCATCGATTATTTGAACTGAACGATCTAACAGTATAGGATTGTGGAAATGGTTAAGTTTATGATTGAGATCATGAACTGACAGATATTAGATAACATGGAAGCACTGGACATCCGTTTCGTTCTATTATGGAATTCCTCAGTGGCAGTGCGCATCCACGATCACGACTCGCGAGATTCGAACCCAGGGGCCTTCAGTATCGGTTGTGAACGCTTAACCTCTAGACTACTGAACCGGGCCGGTATCCAACGGTATTGATGTCTAACCCCAACCAATCCTCGAACAATCTAATGCAGATGTGCGTTTTTTTGGTAGAGTTTCGTTCTCTAAACTGGATAGTCTGGTTGTAGAGCTTCGATAACATCATCACTATAAACATCAGGTAGAATTTCTTCACAGTGAAAGCTTCACAACATCAAACTATTCAATTCAAAGAACAAAACACCACTTAGATCATCTAAAATGAATTAAACAAAAAGAAGAACTCTTTTTTATCATCTTAATATATGTGTTTACCTGATTCTTGATTCTGTTTTAATTTAGGTATATTTTTTTGAATTTTTCCCACATATTTATGAGGATAACGGAATAACATATGTAAATGATGTGATCCATCAAAATGATAATCACTACAAGATGTAGATGAAGTTGACGATGACGATGATGATGATGATGTTGTTGTTGTTGTTGTCGTCGTCGTCGCCGTTGTCGTCACTGTCGTCGTTGTCGTTGCTGTTTTTGTTGTCTCCGTCGTCTTTATAGTTGTTATACCTGAACATAAATCCGATTGATTAATCCATGATAATTCCGATATCATTGAAGGTAACTGCATATTATCAACATATAATGATACATTTTGAATTGTATTAGTCATTAGTAATGAATAAGATTATAATATTATGATTATTATTAGGTTTGTGTTTATATGATCCGTTAGTAGATCTAAATCTTAAGTCATCCATCTTAATTGTTTATATAACGTTTGTTATATATTGAAACTTGATTAAGTACATAGAATAGAATGATAATCATTAAGAACACTTTAATGATTGGTTAATTCATTTGTCTATAAAACTTATTATAGATTCATATTAGAATCAAGTTTATAATAACAATGAATCAAATATATAGATTTACTATAGTAGTGACCAATAGAGTTCAACTAAGTCTGTTGTGAGATAGTAACTCATTTGAAGACAATGGTGGATGGTGGTACAATTTCGTGTATTGGTTGAAGTTAGACATTAACACCGTTGGATACCGACCGGCTCAGTGGTCTAGATATTAAGCGTTCGTCCGTGAGTCCGATAGATGCTGGATTCGAATCTCACAAGTTGGGATCGTGGATGTGCACTGCCATTGAGGAGTGTCACAATAGGATGAGACGGCCGTTTAGATGCTTACAGGTTTCCATGGTGGTTTAGCTTCAATTGACTTTTTTATTTATTTATTTATTTATTCCATTGTCTAAAATTTGTTCTTATTATAAATTCATATTAGAATCAAGTTTATAATAACAATGAATCAATTAAATAGATTTACAATAGTAGTTTGTATGTAAAAGAATAAATATAAATTCAGATATCTGAACTTTCGAAAACTAGCGCCTCTATGATTTCATTAAAATTTCGAACGCGAGGTTCGAACTCAAAATCTTCAGTCTCGCAGGTGGAATCATGGATGCTTATTTCTGAGAAGTGGAATACTACGATGAATTGGCTGTCCAGTGTTTTTAAATTCTCTAAGGTGGTTTCACTTTAATTGACTCATGAATTCAATCATTAAATAACTGCAATTTCCATAAACCCTCATTCTCACAAATGTATTATTTCATTAAAATCAGGAATCGATCCAAATTAGATCAGTATTGATAACCTAGAATCACTTGATGACCATTTTGTCGTTGATTGAGATAACTCATTAGTGTGTATCTACAACCCAGCAAGCAGAAATTGAAATAGTCATCCAGTACTGCTGGATTTTCAACGGTGGTCTAACTTAGATTGGTTAATGATTTCAATGAAATTAAACAACCTCCATAATCTCTTACTCGGAAACTAATATTGATTTTAGTAAATTAGGTAACAATCATGATTATCATTAATATAACTTATTTGTATGTCAGTAATTAGACATCATATGAGAAAAGCACTGATACATATGAGATTTTGAGGACTATCCCAAGAAACTAGACTCCAGTACTGGATGAAACATTAATGGTTTGAATGGTTGACTTTGTCTATTATTCACTGTATATTTATGTTTAATTGTCAGTAGCTTATACCTTTCTTATCTTTGTTTATATGTTATTAACCTTATAAGATCAAGGTGAAGTGATCATAAGTACAACGTTCAAAATGGAGACCATAATGAATGATTCGAAACATTATCTAGACCGGTGAGACAATAATTTATGGACAATCTTTAAGTAATGGTAAAATGACCTTATTAGTGTCCACCTAATAACTAAGACCAAATGAAGGTTATAAACCAGTGTGTGATGAATAAGAATTATGATTTACAGTTGATGATTAAAGTTAGGAATTCGATTTCGGGTTTTCATCATCAACTGACATCAGCTATAATGCAAAAACTCTATTTAACCAAATGGATAAGTGAATTTCACGCCTAAATCTAAGACCTGTTATCTTATACATGATTGGTTCGTCCATAAATTATAGTTCCGCTATTCATTTACAAAATGATCTGATACTGATAGACGATGCACCACGAACAACCCTCCCACCCCCGACTGAATACTTGATTGAGAACATAAGAGTGAACAAGAATGTATATTGGGTTCCCGAATAAATTGCACAAATACTCATTTATACATATACAACTCTATCCTTTAGGGAATCAATCGATTTCTCAGTCAATGAAATGCACTTATTCTTCAGGTCACTTCTGAATGTCATCGATTATTGACTTCTAAATTTGTCTATTTCTAATAGACTTACTACATCACCTTTTCTTCCCGAAAAATAAGTTTTGATCCTTAAATTGAACTGGAGGTGTTGAGGGAAATGTCGACTTCTTGATAATGTTTTTTTTTTGGATCTGGCCATCACTTCTTCTGCGTTGATCTTGTTACTTCACACTGAATGTATCAAGTTCGAGTTAGGGGTCCAAGTTATTTACTAAGACTAAATGAAGGTTATAAATCAGTGTATGATGAATTAGAATTATGATTTACAATTGATGATTAAGGTTAAGAATTAGATTTCAGATTTTCATCATGAACTGACATCATCTGCAATGTCAAAAACTTTATTTAATCAAATGGATAAATGAATTTCCTTCCAATATCCAAGACCTATTATCTTATATCTGATTAGTTCCTTTATAAATTATAATCCCACTTCTAAATCATTCAGCTATGATATGATTGGATCTTTCCAATATTCAATGATTTATATTAAAAGTTTATTCCAATCCAAGTTGTTAATCTTGAAAACTATCAAATTCAATCCTGTTAAAACAAAAAAATTTTTTTTGTAATTTTAAAATTAAAAGTTTTATAACATATAAGCATCATTCCTAAAAATAGAAAGAAAAAAAACAACCGATCACAATGGATCAATCAAATAAATCCATAATGTTTATAGTAAAACAAAATATTACAACATTGATTCAATCATCGATATAATCAATAATATTTGGAATTGTCCATCTATTGATTTTTTTTTCAGATTATTGATTTTTTGAATTACTGATTTAGTGATTTTTGAATGATTGATTGATTGGTTTGTTTTTTGGATTAATTGGTTTATCGATTGATTTTTTTTATCTACCATTTTATTGATTTTTGGAATTGTTTAGTTTTTATATATATATATATGGGGGGGGGAGATAAATGAAAGTTAAATATCATTGTAGTTTGGAATGAATAATTGTTTGTATATACTTGACATTTTATAACGTCTGGGAGATACTTCTTTTAGTCATTTGTCAACTCTATTATTATCAGAAGGGGTTTTGTGGAGATTTTAGTAATTTTAATAGTTGAGATAATAAGTCAATTGAAGCCAGATCACCATGGAAAACCTGGAAGCACTGAACGGACGTTTTGTTTTAGTATGGGACTTCTCAGCAGTACTCACCCACGATCCCTGCGTAACTTGATCGATCGAGATTTTAACCTTAAATTCAAAGATTGATAAACTCACCTCGAGGTTTTATTGTTGTCCTAAAAACCAGTTCAAATAATCAACACTATAAATCAGTTTTGATAGATGTTCTTGTTCTTAATATAACTAATGGAACGAATTCTGCTCATTCAGTGCGGTTTAACTGTGATATTGAGGTAACTTTTATTTGACAAAGAAACTTTTCTACCAACTCATTAGCTTGAGATTGATATGCTATGAAAAATATCCTATTAGCTCCTAGAAACTTAAATAAGTTGTTGAATAGCTCACTTGTTCTTATGACAGATGTGCCAAAAATATCAGCTATTGGTATGTTCATTGAAAACGTCTTGAATTTTTATATGATTATAAATAATTAATTAGAATCATTGAAATGAGGTATAAGACCTACTAATTCTATAAAGACACACATTGAACGGGAGTCCGGCTGTAAGAAAATCCCGATATTGAGTTGATATAATGGTTAACGTTTGACGGTTGACATGTCAAACACTCTCTTAACAAATTATGCACGTCGTTTTGTAAGTTTTCCCATATAAACATACCATTAATTAACTTGGTAGTGGCTTTCGTTCCAGTATTAGACAAAGTATGAAGAATGCCAGATATTAATCTTTCCATATTTGTGAGGGCGAGTAGTCGAAACCGCTGTTGTCGTGTCAAAGTTGATCAGATTGTTTTTCCTCTGGGACCATCTTCTAACAGTTACATTTGTTGTAAACAATAGGGTATTAATCAGTGATAAACATTTACTAAATATTTATATTATGTTAAGAACATCAGTACGATATATTATTGAAGGAGTTTACCTCTTTCTTAACTGGAGCAATTACTTCTGTGTCTATTGTTGCAAAGATCCAACTTCCAACACACACTTTGACCGCCCTTTATTCGGTTTTCATGTATTTTTTAAACACGATTCTCACACGCTGCTCATGTGATTGCAAGTCAGGATAACCTGTCAATGTACTTTCGTGAAAATCATATCTTGAGACAAATCGTCCATAAGCCTTTGGATTGTTTATGCCACGTTTCTAAGACCAAATAGCATCTACGAAAACTCTAAAAAGGCAAAAGTCGTGATAACGGCAATCTTAAAAATATCTTCCACAGCTAACGTCACAATGTGACATCTCCAAACACAGTTTCAATAATTATTTTTATATCCTATATCCCGTTCGTGAAATCTTGAATGTCAAATAGTGTGTTCTTATCTTGCACCGTTTGACGGCTGAGAGTTCTGTATTTCCTACATGGTCGACAGTCACTTTGTTTTTATTGGCCATGTACAGGTGCTTGTTTGTCATCGGGCAGACTAACTGTAGCATGTAATCGAGCCCGGATTTATTGGTTTCAAATTTATTAAAATGATAATCTCCTGAGTCTTACGTGGACACGGTAGAAATTTCGTACAGGGGGGAATAGGTCTTTACTTAGATCGTGAAACAGAACAGTTTGGCAGCGAAGTAATCTTTTTCAAACACAGAGCTTTTCAACCTTCGTTAAAAAATAATAATAAATTCAATGCTTATACAAAATGAAAGAAGAATGAATACTTGAGCTATAATGTTTTGACACTACTAAGATGTCTGTGATCAACTTTTAAACAATCGGCCTAGGTTTTTACATCAGCATTCTTCTAAAATTGACTTCCACAGGAATGTCGGTTCGGTTTCCTCAGTGCATATACAAGAAGTGTTCACTGACCAGAAAAATTGGAACATAATATTAAGAAAAAACAATGAGAAATAT